TTTCCTTCAGGATATTAAATTCCCTGGCAAAATAATGGAAAAATGAATGGTTGGAACACGTTCTTTTTACAGATACCAGCTTGAGGAAGATGTAAGTGAACTTCCAATACAGACTCAATTTTATTTAATTATTTTTTAATTTTAATCTGAATTTTGAGTGGATTTATTCATTACTTTGGTAAGTGTGTAATTGATATCTTGGCCTTCTCAGGTAAGAAGTTGCAACAACAGTTGCAAGGAAGAGATTAATTTGCGGCTCTAGCTCTAGCAAGTGCTGTTGACCACCACTGATTCATCCTTCTTCAGGTTCACCTTGTCACTACCAGATAAGGTTCCACATCCCAATTTTTTTTTTTCTTCATCTATACATATCTTTTTCTTTCTCTTTATCAAACTTTCTTTAGTTTTATTTTGTTGCTTTTTTTTTTTTTTCTTTTTCCCAATTTTTAGTCATTTACTGTTGTGGTTTGCAGGCCAAAGAGCTTTAGATAGCATAAGCTATTCGTGGAGATACTGTATCAAAGCTGAACAAGAATCGGTTGCCTTAAAATTGTCAAATTAGTCAGGAGAGAAAGAGGTCATTCTTCTGAGTACCAATTTAAGGCATTTGCCCTTGTCCAGTATCCCATCACCAGTGTTTGACAACTCTCAGGCTTGTTTAACAGAACTGGTATGCTCTTATGCCTGGTTCCTTTGCAATTTTTGTTGATTAAACATGGACTCGTGGAGCTTATTAGGAGAAAATTAATCCTTTTGGTCAGTCATCGAGTGCTATTTCTCCTGATGAAAGTTTAGGTGTAATTGAGAAGCAGAAGAATTTAATAGGCTATTTTAATTTTGTTGGCAGATCAGGAGACCTTGCAGTGGAGAGGAAAGTTACAAGGGAAAGTGGAGGATAAGCCCCCCAAGTCCGATGTAAATGGAAAATCTGAATCGAGTTTCATCTTTGTTGACAAGGACTTTGGCACACCCTAACCGACTTTTCTAAGAAATGGTTCTTGTGCGATGAGAGATCATATTTATCTTCTTAGCAGATTCTTCAGCTCACTTTCTCTGAGGGTTGGCCTCACCATATTCACCGCAGGGCGCACCTCTTCTACTCTTCTTTGGCATCTTTCTCAGACTCACCAATAATGAATTTCATTTATGAAGAGTCCGTCAATTGACGTGAAAATGGTTCTGATGGACACTGCAAAATTGCAAGCTTGGATTCCATATAGTTTCTGGTAAAGTAGATTGTACAAGGCGTTGGAGCCTACAGTACGGCAGTTGAGGTCTCATGGTATCGTTGGAAAAGAAAGAACTTGAATATGCTTCTGGGGCTTCTTCAAAAGATTTTAGGTTCATTACTATACCTTAGGTCTTACTATTTAAGATCTCCTACTCCTTGTATTCACAATTGAGGTTTTTTTACCCAACTCATATAGAGCTGAAGGCACTACAATATTTGGTGTTTGGTTCTTGCTCTTAGGAGTGACTTTTGCAAAAATTCGTTGTCTAGTTACCTTTCAAAATCCTTGGCTTTATCTTTTACTCGCAATTATTATTTTTAAACTTCTTCATTTGAGGTTGCTGATATATTTGTTGCATTGCTACATAGGTTCCTGGTCGAGCTAAGCTAGCTGAAGTTGACCCATCTCACCTGTTCTTGCAATGAGAAGCTGGGCATTTTGGATTCAATGTGTTATAATGCTTTGATCATGCATGTTGATTCCCTCTTTTCCATACTTTACCATTACCATTCTCCGATTCATGCATCTTTAGCAACCTCTATCCGTTTATTCTCTCCATTTCCAAGATCTAATTGCACCTATCTCATTCAATGTGTTATATCACTATAAGCATCGCGTTGCTAAAAATTGGACACTTGGCCTTTGGAAAGACCGAGCATTTCTAGACTCACTTTTTGCATCTATAGGCCAAACTTGATTGATAGATAAGATATATTACTAAGATTTTTTTCAAACACCTTTGATGAATGATATTTGCTGCTTTATATCTCTAATTGTTTCTACTTTGCTTTTCTTGCTGCTATTATTTTTAGGGCCTTTCTTGCTTAGCATTCCCAGAGTGATATTAAATTATTCTCCTTTTAATGCAGAAGGTTTTGATTGTGTGTGGTTCAATTGCTTGGTTGTTATTTTTTCTTTTTCCCTTCTATTTTATGTTTGAACCAATGTGAACAAAACGTTATGCTGGCTGCAGGCTGCTTTAACACGGAGGTCACTCATTCAGTTGCTGCCCGGGACCATTGAGTTTTCATCATTCTTGAAGATGAAACCTTCCGTCTCAATCGCCCACAAATAGTAAGTTACATATTATGTGCATGATTCCCCCAGCTTCCCCTGCTAAAATACAGCCTGTTAATGCTTGTGGCAAGGCTTGCTGATAATTGATCCAATTTCTTTGGCTGACCTTACTTTAGAGGTCCCACCAAGTAGGTGGCATGCATTAATTCACAAATGTTTAGGCGCTGTTTGATCTTTTACGATGATGTGATGCTAAAATTCTAATTTGACATTCCATTAAACCCTTAATATCAGGCCTTGCTACTCGCTCTTCAAAAATTTAAGGTAACTGAGGAGCAGAACTTTTTCTATTCGATCAACCTGAGCCTCTCCTGGCTTTTGCTCTGAGTTGTCTCGCCATTCTTCACCAGCAGTGGAGTACTCTGCCATCTTTGTTTTCTTTTTTTAAAATGGAGCAAAATTTCAGCAAAGAATGCAACTAATGTTATTGAAAAAGAATATTAGAATAAACAAGCATTGATAATGTTTGTGAATATACGAAGGGTAAAATATTTTCTTATTTTTTGATGCTTTTTTACTTGTAATTCAGGTGCGAGTCTTCACTCCTTGGAAAATGGTGAACGAGTTGCTTAAAACTTCATTGAAGGATTATGTGGCAAGCGTCTGTTGTATTAAGTAGTAAGGGTAAACTGTTCGGTGCCAAGTTGTTGTATTTGTTTTTGCCAAAGGCACAGTGGATGACTTACAGTTGCCTGAAGTGGATTTGCCAGTTTCCTCTTCGCCCAGAGCAAGCAGCTATTGGTTAAGATTGTTCATCTACCACAACATGAGGCTCCTTGGCTCTAAAAAGCTTCCTCGTGTCCTGCATTTTATTCAAGGTTCCGCTTTCTTTTCATATTGGTAGAACTGGAGGAAGGTTTCAGAAATATAAACAAGTCAATCAATTTACCCATAAAGATTGGAGATTTGCCACAGGAGAGATTTTTTGACAAGCCTAATGCTAAAGATGCTGTTTTGGCCCAAACTTATTGACTGCTTTAGATAGGGAATTTATGAAGATTTTTTTGTTACAGTTAGAGATCCCGACAATAAATTTTTTTTCTTAATTTGCAGAATCTAAGATTAGGATTTCGAACGACTTTGGCACATTTTACAAGAATGAGTATTTTAATTGACGATTATTGCCCCGAAAACGGACATGAATTCGACCTTAAGCTACTGGGGGAAACTTAAACCTCAATTAAGGTAATTGTGAAAGATTTTTTCTGGGACTCCAAAACATAGAAGAGAAAATAAATTGAAAGAGAAAGAAACATCGTGTTGGGGTTCCGAGCAGAAGGATTTAATGGAATATATGGAAATCATTTTTTCTGTAATTACAAATTTCTCCTCTTGGGCCTTAAAATAGAACCATTAGATTGAAAGTAAAAGACGAGTTCGCATAATATCCCTCAATTACAACGCAGCATCACAATTCACTAGTGATTCAATTATCGCCAAAGTGAGTGCAACTGTAAATCCCGTAATTAACTAAGCCTTTTCAGAAAACTTCTTGCAGTGGAATTATTTGAGAAGAGGAACTTACTAAATCAACCAGATAGGTGCAGCAACTTAATGTTGCTTCACTAAAGAAACTCGACTTGCAAACTTCAGGTTGAATCTTACATTATTTAGTTTGAGGCACCAGACCCTTGTCTCTCGTGCAATCGACAAATCAGATTAGACTTGGGACATCTTGGGGTTCTCTTTCTTAGCACGGCAATTACATCCTTGACAGAATGGTGCGTCGTACACTAATTTGCATTACTCTGGTTCTTCCCCAAATTCCTTGGGCAAACCCGGGTGAAAGGAAATTGGGGTTGAAAACCACAAAAAAAATGCAAAACCCGGCAACATGAGCAGAAGGTGTAACTGAATCGTGCTCCAATAGCTGCTCTGCCACTTACTGATGCAGCTGCAGGCTCCTCTTTTTCTGGGTTCTTGATTTATCCTTCATATTTCTTTCCAGATTGTTGACCGAGGGTTGTGGCCAACGTCTTTAGCTTGACTGGGACTGGAAGTTGACTCATTTCCACCTTCCGTCTCTTGGCGCGCTTGTCTCCATGAGTTGCCACTTTTTTGAAAGCATGTCGTCGCCACCAACCAGCAGCCTCGGCAGAACATTGCAGCCGTTGTCCTCATTTTGTCATCCTCATTCTCTGTTCGTTGCACAGTAAGGAGAACTTTTTACAAAATAATATATATATAAATACACACACCACACACACAAACACTTTTTTTTTTTTTGGGGGTTTAAAAGGGAGAGCTTTTAATACTCAAGTGTGTGGAAAGGTCTGTACCTTCACTGATTTTTGCCCTGGACTGTCATCTTTTCTCATTATCAACTTCAACTTCATTTTTATTCTCCTCGGCTACATTCATAGACAGGTGATTCATCTCTATTTTATAGATTTTTCTTCGTTTCTGCAACTTGATTGAAAAGTTTAAACATATCATGCGTGCATGTTTTAGAGTACCCACTTTCATTTAATTTTCGGAGCTTTTCCACTTCAGACTGTTTTTATATCCATCTTCCTTAGCTTTCTGGTTCATTCTCATGATTTGTGTTGAACGACTGACAGTATTATCCACTCTGGTGTCTTAGGGACTTCTCATTCATCTACCGCCTTAAATATTCCAATAAAATCAGGAAAAGAACACAGGAAAGTGACAAGATAGCGAGATTAATTTCAGCGGATATTCAATGACCTTTGCTTTGGATACCTGATAGGTTACTTATTAGTCCCCGCATTCTTTCCTCAACGCACTAAAATTCAGTTTCCATAAGAAAAGTCTCCACAGTGAAAAAAAAAAAAAAAAAAACAAAAATCCAAAAAAAAAAAAAAAAAAAAAAATCCAAGGAACTACCATCTCACCAAAGACAAGCATCGCTCTGCATCATCATTGATATTCTTCAATCTATATCTGCTCACTGGAACAGAACCCAGATATTAAGCATTATTACTGATAGCACATAAATACATTTAAAATCAATGAATAGAAGGAATATTAACTGATCTCCGCCAATCTTTTCTTGAGTGGAATTTTCTGCAAAATCAGTCTTTCCTCTTCTTCTTGCACAACCATCCGAGATGTTTCTGAAACTCGACAATCCTCCTTGGACCCAGAAAATAACTGTTCTTCCTCTTCCTGTTTTAAAGAAGCAAAATGTTAGAAGGGCATATTTTAAGGAGATGGCAAATATTACTTACTAAATCACACTTTTCATGAGGAAACTTCAATTGTAAATGAAGTTTAACATACCCTTAGATTAACTCCACTGACAGCAGTGACATCATTGAGCTGTTCAATGCTTTGATCTGAAAACTGCCCTGATACTTTTTGCTTCTTACTGTATGGAATTCCATAAATTTTGTTGTAAGATGATCTAATACAATAATTGTCAAGAATGAAAGAAAATCGAGAGCCTTGTAAAATCATTCTCAACCAGGGGACACAGGAAAAAGAAGTTATTCACCTTGAAACAGGTGGAGAAGAATCAAGTGCTTCAAGTGGCTTCTTTTGGGCAACTGATGGTTTCTTTGGAGGTGTTTTCGCATTTACTCCAGCAGAAGAAGCTACAGATGGGATCTGAGAACCTACCTGATAAATGTAGAAAAAAAAAGGTATATCAATGATTGATAGATAAATTAGAGAATGTAGCATATTAAAAGCACACTTATATTTCCAAAAAATTAACTCTGCAAATGGACACTATCCCTTTTCAACTACATCTTAGTTCTCCCTATCCCTGTTCCATGAATCCAACACTATCATGTAAGTTAGTAGAGCAACAATAATCTGACAGAAGTTTCAGGTTTCAATCTGCAAATGGACACTATCCCTTTTCAACTACGTCTGAGTTCTCTCTATCTCTGTTCCATGAATCCAACATTATCTTGTAAGTTATTAGAGAAACAATAATCTGACAGAAGTTTCAGGTTTCGCCATGAAATCCAACATTATCTTGCTACAGTTATTCAGAGAAGACAGAAAACACATAATCTGGACAGCAAGTTTTCAGGTTTCAAACTTAATTTGCTTTTGCATGTTCTGTCACCTTTGCGACTTGCTGTCTTGCTCTACAAACCTTTCGCATAAGGAATAGCTCCTGCAAATGGACACTATCCCTTTTCAACTACGTCTGAGTTCTCTCTATCTCTGTTCCATGAATCCAACATTATCTTGTAAGTTATTAGAGAAACAATAATCTGACAGAAGTTTCAGGTTTCAATCTGCAAATGGACACTATCCCTTTTCAACTACGTCTGAGTTCTCTCTATCTCTGTTCCATGAATCCAACATTATCTTGTAAGTTATTAGAGAAACAATAATCTGACAGAAGTTTCAGGTTTCAAACTAATTGCTTTGCATGTTGTCACCTTTGACTTGCTGTCTTGTCTACAAACCTTTGCATAAGAATAGCTCTGAATGACCAAAGAAAGAATCTATAATCACTTGTAAGGACATTTGCAGTAAAACTTTCTTATGACCTCTATGAGGGATAAACATTGATCTATATAGCCCCCTCATCAACTTCATGCAAAAGCTAATGGTCTGATAGTTAAAAAATGTTTTAAGTCTTTTAAACGAATAATATTTTCATGGTTTGAATCAAATCAGAAAGAATGCAAAGAAACTGAGACCCAAAGCAACTAAATGCAGTAGTTCATTCATAAAAAATATGTGATTACCGGGACATTAGGGTCCAGTTTATTTGCAATGGAAGGAGAAACTGAATTTGAGGGCACCATACTAGTAGGTGGGGAGAAACCAACTTTAGAAGGGTGCTTCTCTAAAGACTCATCCTTCATATTTCCTGGTACCGCATTCCCCTGATCAACGAGGGTGGCAGACAAACTCTGAGGGTTAGACAACTGGGACTTATATGGCTGCTCGGTAGCCTGTTCAACCAGTACTTGTTTATTTGTTGGCGCTTGCCATGGAACTGAGCTTTGCTGCAGTGCCGATTTGTTTGTATATTGGGAAATAGAACCCTTCTGTAGTCTGCTGGGATCTGTAATAGAGTTTTTCCTCTCAAATTTTGGCATATTCATAATGTTCATTGTGTGGGTTGAACCTCCCATTCGAATTGCACCCATGGTTTGATGTGAACTTTTCCGTATTTGTAAATCATGAGGTTGTTGTTTCATTGGAGATCCTGAAGTATAGACATTTGCTCCAGAATATGGGTGATAAGTAGCAGTATTATTTCCATGCATTAGAAAGGAACTCTGTGGAAAGTGCAAATGTTGCTGCTGCTTTCTATGTCCTGGCACTGGAATTGAGGGGCGCTCCCTATCCTGATTGACTATGCTAGCACTGGAGGAAGAGCTGGTCTGCATTCCATGAGAATCTGGCTGACAATATACCTCTCGGGGTTTCTGAACACTTTTTTCTGCAGATGGATAATCAGCATGAACTTGAACTGCAGAAGAGGCACTGGCACCAGGTGTTCTCGTAATGGATTGGTGTGCAAAAGCTTGAGATTGCATCTACGATGCAGTATAAGACAAGCCAATTTTCAGTTTGATATCAACAAAAAGTTTCCTAAATTCATAAAATTATATCAAGCCCTTTCTTAATTACCTGCAACTGCACCTGTTCTAATGCCAACTTAAACACTTGTTCCCCTGCAATACTTCTCATAAGCCTGACAAATTGTTCGTTCTTGATTTCATTTTTCTAACAGCAATAGCAGTAGAAGAATCAGGATAACATTTAAGGCACCCCTTCCAACGCATGATGGATAATAGAATAGTAGAAATTGATGTCAGAGACCCACCCTCATTTTATTAAACAGAGTCTGAAGCTGCATTTCTCTGTCCTTATCAAGATGCGAATTTAAGGTAGGAAGCAATAGCATAAATGGTATCGGCTTGACTTGATTCTTTAGGTTGCCAGGTTGCTCTGTAGCTGTGGCCTGTTGAGTAACCATCTTCTTTATCTTCAAGTATTGAGACCCAGTATCTAGATTTTGCATTTTTTCTAACTCAGGTAATGACATAGAATTTCTCTCAGAAATCTCCATCCCAGTTAGTTGAGGGGTCTGAATAGACATTTGTTGTGTTTGCCCCTGCTGAACATCATCTTGGAGCTCTTTCTGATGTAACGATAGGTGACTAGACATCTGTCTGACATTATTCTGTAGTTGTTGATTCTCAGCAGCAGACCCATGCTGCTTTATCTCCGTTACAGATATGTGCTGCTCTTGCTGTTGTTGTTGCTGACTTGGACCACTGGCATTTTCTCCTTGTGACGTGGTTTGCCAATCCAGAAATGGTTGACTGGGACTTTGTTTGATTTCACATGACAAAACTGCTGAATTTTTAAGTTGCAAATGTCAACGAAAATTCCAGGTAAGCTAGATAAGAGGCCCAAAACATCTAACAAGAAATGTCTGAGCTCCAATCTTTCACTAACTATTTTCCCATATTCCTGGATGTTACCATAAAATTGCTTGCTTGTAGCCAAAGACATAAAAGGCGGAAATCATTTTATAAGTATAATTCAGAAAATAAATAATTCAGTATTGCTGAAAAATTAATTAAACATTCTTTTTCCAAATTATTATCCTAAATTATTCATAGATTCAAATTATACAAATATTGAAAGTGGAAAAAATAATAATAATAAATTATCAAAATACTTTTCAAAATTCAGTTAAACCATCTCTATCCAAAGAAATGAAAATTCAGTAAATTAATCACTTCCAACCATCTTCATTGTTGAGAACGAATAAAACTACACTAACATAATCAATCATTTTCTAATCATAATCGAGAGACCTGTATCCGAATCAGACGGCTGAGAAGTGGATGCATCACCTACAATATCCCGATTCAAGGCAGCCTGGAATGCATCAACGTCAGCACCGGAATGCATTGTTTCGTCCTGTAAGCCAAACACACAAATATTTGAAACTTTCTATAAAATTCAATTTCCAAAGATATGAGACACAGCATAGAGAAAATTCAGTAACTCACCTCATCTTCTTCGAGGAGCTTCATTATTGAAGGATCCATGATACACTGCCGTCGTCGACGCTGCCTCACCGGCTAGTGACTCGAACTCACTCTAACTGCATCACCACCGAGGGGGCGTGTAGGTACGAAATTAGAAAATAAACATAGAATCTGTACATTAATGTAAATATGTAATTTTACATATTCATGAATCATAAAGGAAGCTACTACCTAAGAAAGTTTAAACGCGTTTTTGCCATGGAGTTATTGAATTATGCAGAAAGTGATAGCAATTGTGCAACCGCTCTCAGTTGCAGACAAACACGAGGAAGCAGAGATGGTTGTCATCCCAAACCAAAAACATAACTGTATTCTTCCATCATCTCGATTTATAAATTCTACAATCTGAATGTAGAGTCTCTGCAAGTTGAATCGTTATTAATGAAGACGTTTGTACAGATCGGAATTTGCAGAAATAGGGATCAAAACAGAATCGGAAGAGCGAAACTTACATGGGAAAGAAAAAATAAAATAATGCGTACGTGGCGGAATATGGGATGTACCACGTGGCAGAATCTGCCAGAGAGTGAAACGAGGCAACTCATCCACGTGGAAGAGAAACAAGTGATGTGGCTGCCTATTGCCTCGTTGACACGCCGAGCGAGATACTGATGTGGCCATGAAATGACATCATTTGCTGTTATTTTTATTTTTCCCATAATTGATTAAAAATGCTCTCGTCGAATAAAATATTTTTAATTGATTTAATAACCTTTCCGTAAATTTTTATCGAGTCCTAGACTTTTAACTTAATTGGGTTGTAGTGTCTCACTCGTTCGCCCATTAAATAAAATTGAAAGAAATGTTTTCGTCCGATGAAGTTTTTCCTATCATGATTCAAATTTTTTTTTATTCGTTGGACAAGAAAATATTTTCGACTACAACATATGTGATGGACAAGGTTTCCCCTCCTGTTCGTATTAGCACAATAACATCATCGTTCAGAATCTCCAACATCATCTCCTTTTGAACTGTTTCATTAATGAAAGTTCCGAGTGAAGAAAAACAGACGCAAAACCAAGGAGATCGAACATCACCAATTGACAACCGTAATGCTGTAAATACATATTCTTTAGCTTATAAATAGCCATTTTAGTTGCCTGCAAGCAGAAATCCCAAGCAACAATATACGCAGTTGCAGATGGGTTTGATTTATGCTTGCATTATTGATCATATTAATGACGACTATAATACCTCTCATTTCTTTAATAAAAAAAAAAAAATATATATATATATATATTTTTAAACGATACAAGAAGAATTCCTATATCTTCTTTTTTCTTTTTTTCTTCCTAAACTCTTTACACAAACAATGGCATCTAAGGTACTTAATCTGCAAAAGAAATGTTTCAATGGAAAAATGAGCTGAAAACCTTAGACACCCATATTTGGAATGTGCAGGCAAAGCTGAAAATCATTCCCCAAGAGAACACCATTAGATTATTGACAATACTATGGTAGTAAAGCTTTTAACTGCATCCTGAAAAGATCTCCGAGTGCTCCACGGATGTCCATCTAAACAAGGGCAGAGAAAAATATTTTGTGATAATTAAAATTACACTTCCAATATTTGATAATTAATAGTCAAAAATAAAAAGTAACGGATTATGAATCCTCTCGATAGCCATGAGAGTACTGCTAATGATTCTGTAGTTTAAAATAAAAATGCAGGAGGTCCAAGTAAATGAGGACATTTAAGTACTACTGAAGAAATCATTGCAAGGAAATAACTGTTGCTTCTAGTTAGAAAAAATGGGGATTATTCCAGAACTGGAAAATACCTGATCGCAGCACACGAGTTTAGTAAGCAAAGGATAGAAGTCTCTTAAATGCCTTCTGAAAATCTCAGTGTTCATGAAGCACATGCCTCTCAGTACCTAGAAGATCACATCGGCAAAAAAATTGCATGAACAGCAGTGAATAAAAATGAACAGCGAAAAGAATTATGTAAACATCTCATAAGTAAGGAATTGTAAGAGATTCCCAACTCTGCTCTTGTTCCAATGAAAAGATCAGCAAGGAGAATTGTAATTGCTTGAGATACCCCACAAGAGGAAGAGGGGAAATAACCGGGATAACTATAAAAAGGTCGCAGACATTTAAAAACAATTCCCTACCTTAACAATGATTGGGGACCGTAACTCCAGAACTCGATGGACATCCATATTAGTAGTCTCCCCTACAGAGGACTGGAGATCAGATGCTTCCCTGAGTACCTGTTCACAGAAAGAAACTAATTTCTCTTCCGCTACTCCTTCAAGTTTCTTATCCACAGCAGCATCACTGATGACACTCGAATCATTTTTGACTGAAGTGATACCAACATCTTCAGAAACATTAGATTCCGGAAGATGTTCCTTGTTGGCATGGAAACCTGAAGTAGTTTTTTGTAACACATCCAGATATACACTAGTTCCCGCTAATTCTTGACGGAGAAGGTTTAGAGGTGGCCTGTCCAGAGAAAAGCTAATTATGATTATCATTTCTTCCAATACATTCTTTAAACAAGCAATAATTATAAGAATCAAAATGAAAAAAAAAAAAAAAAAAAAAAAAAAAAAAAAAAAAAAAAAGCAGCATCACTGATCCACTCCGAATCCATCTTTTGACCTGGAAGCTGACTCAACCAACAATTCTTTCAGACAACATTAGATTCCGGAAGATCGTCCCTTGTATGGCATGGAACCTGAACGCTAGTTTTCTTTTTGTAACACATCCAGCATTATACACTAGTTCGCCGCTAATTCTTGGCACGGGAGAAAGGTTTAGAGGTGGCCTGTCCAGAGAAAAGGCTAATTACTGCATCTCATCATTTCTTCCAATACACATTCTTTAAACCAAGCAAATCAATTATCCAAGAATCAAAATGACAAACAAGAAAAAAGAAAAAAAAAAAAAAAAAAAAAAAAAAACACAAAAAAGGAACAGAGAAACAAAATAACGTTTGAGAAATATTCTTTCCCGCCACCTCTCAACAGCGAGATTTCGCTGCAAAAAAAAAAAAAAAAAAAAAAAAAAAAAAAAAAAAAAAAAAAAAAAAAGGAAAGAGAAAAATAAGTTGAGAAATATTTTTCCCGCACCTCTCAACAGGAATTCGCTGCATTCTTGTTCTAAGGTTTGGATATGAATTATATGAAGCAGCAAATTCTAACATGGATAATAAAATATCCATTATAGCAACCTTTTGTTGTGCTTTTAACTTGCTCCAGTACTTCTTCTGCAAATATTAGAAAGTCGGTGTGATTAGAAAAAAAAAAAAAATACACATTTCTCACTGTCCATAAGATTTTCCCTCCTTAAGCTACACCTTACATTAATATACCACGGGAGATTAAATAGAACACAACAATCTGGGTTTGAAAAATTCATAAACCTCTTCTAACAGGATTCTGGCTTGCACGAAGTAGAAATCTAAAATAGCTTTGTAGAAGGAAATGGAAAAAGGACATTAACATAAATAAAAACGCCAATACATGGAAGACTAACGTTTATACCTGAATACAATCAATAGCACCAAGAAGTAGTAACTGGGTAACGCATTTGCCCCTAATAGTTGCCATAAGAGGACTTTCCTCCTCATCTTTCGCATCAGCCTCCAAAGCATCAGGAACCTAAAATGCCATATATCAAGAAAAGAATTCAGAGAAAAGGGACGCAGGAGGAAAACATTTGAAAAACATCACAAAATAGAGGAAGTAATGAGTTTTTCCCCGCTTTAAAAATATTTTCTTTCGTTTAACCAGCAGAGAATTTTGAAAACTTAAAAATGCAACATTAAAACAGTTATCAGTAACATATTTAGAAACAATTTTCAAAAAGTCTTTTAACATGTAAATTGGGTTTTTGGCCCCCTCTATGACGAGTCAACACTTTCTATATTGTCTTCTGTAAATTCCCTTCCTTCATATTTTATACAATGCAAGGTTATGAACACATGAACTGAAAGCAACCAAAAATGTCAGAAGCAAAAAATCTGGAAACTGATCATCTTACTATGAAACAAATAGCCTTTAAAATGTTACCCCTTCCATCCCATAATTTTTGTCCTATTTTCCTTTTTCATCCGTCCAAAATTATTGTCTTGTTTCCTCTTTTAGAAGTGAATAATATTTGAAGTTTCCTATTTTACCCTTATTTAATATGTTTCTTCGTCAACAAATATAATAGTCAAATTATTATATTGTCATTAATTAAATCTTGATATAAACCAAATTAACATATCAATCTTTAATCTTCCAATAAAAATGTATTTAATCAAATATTTGATTAATTTCAAGAACAATTTAATATTGGATTATTTAATTTTTATGGATACTAATATAAGGGTATATCAGGAAAAAAAAAGAACAAAAAATTATAGTTTAACCATATTAACTAAATTTTCTTAATCCAAGTGCAAGTCAAACCAGGACACAAATTATGGGATGGAGGGAGTAAAGCAAAACTAAATGCTCACTACCTTAGTTGGAGATGATGGTACTGAGGTGTCTGAAGCAGGAGCCTTTGATTTGGAGGTAAGATTCCTGAGGAAAAAATTGTCCATTATTTTTTGACCAAACGTTTGATTCCTTTGGATTTCTGCAGGTTTATGCGATCTTCCTGATGGTGATGGAAGACCTACAAGAATAAAACATATTCAGTTTTCAAGCACACAGAAAGAGAGTGGACCATATGTTACACCTGAGCACACAGCCAAATAATTTATTACATTAATACGAATTTATAGAAATTCCCTAATCATTTAGCTGGCTGTTACCCTCTCCCCCTCTAGTCAGGATTCTCTTTCTCAAGCCACCTTAGAAGCTAGCCTCCTGAAATTTGTTGCAATCTTTTTACCTTTGCTCTTCCTCTTTTTATTATATCTATATACATTTTTGTCATATATAATAATGTTAGATATTTCTTGTTTTGTTCTCTTGCCTGCTTGGAATCCAAGGATTCCCTTGTACTACTTGACCTCATTGCACTTTAATTGGCAAAATGTACGTTAAAAAGATTGGAGAAACAAACCTTCTGATGCATCCAAATTGCTCTGCAAACCAGATTCTTGACTGTGATCTGCTAAGACCAATGCAGTAGGATTCCCTCCAATGCCATGACCACGAGAGCTTTTTGGAGATGCCAAAGGAGATACCTTTCCATCATCACCATTAGGAAGCAGATGGTTATCTGCAACATCACTGGTAGTGACCTCTGCATCTGCAGCTAGCACCCTAGGGCTTTTGGGGTTCTCGAAACTCAAAGCATTAAGCAACTCAAGCGGTTGTGTTGTATATGAAGCATCTCTAGTTGTCATAGTGAAATTGATTAGTCATAAAAATAATTAGACAAGATTACCAGAACAGAAAATCAACATAGATAATAAGACATGCACCTTATGCTTTTCAATAATGTCTCCCAGTCATTCTCACTAAACTGGTGGCCTCCAACTTCAATGAGATGCACTAATGCACCCAATGAGATGGAAACCACAGTCTGATCAGTCTTTTTTGCACAATCCAGAAGCAAACTCAGAAGTGGAGGCAACATGAAGCAGACCTCCTGAAAGAATATAGATACTGCTAAGAAAGATAGAACAAGGAGAATTTGGTTTCTGCAAAGAATTTCAACTAAACCAATGATATCTTTTTATAAGCTTATCAATACATTGAGGTAGAACTTCATTCAAACAAATAAAAGTGTGAACATGAGAGAGGGAGAATGCAGTGCCCCCGCCCACCCTGTGCAGGGGGTGGGGGGTTGGTAAATTCTGCATCAAAAGCCAATCTATCTCTAATGTGGAATATAATCAGTTTCCTCATGCGCTTAGGGCTCAATAACTCTAGTCTTTAAGAACAGCTTAAACAGATTATTGGAAAAAGAGAGATGGAAGAAGCAGCTCATTAATACCTTGTAGAATGTGTTAAAAAGGTTGCACAATAACTGAAGGGAATGAATGCTGGTTTCTCGAAACCATTCATCATCAGAAGAGATTAAGCTTTCCTTTCCAGCATGTCTCACATGATCAAAAATGGGAAACAAGACTCTATGGAAAATGCTCTCCCAAAATGATGTTGAAAACTTGTTTCCTCTCTCATTCAGTAAATCAAATAGAACTTCTAATGCACAACTTCTGACCTCAGGTCTTGCATCCGACGTCAGATCTGACAAACCAGCTAGCATTGGGAACCAATAGTGCTCGGTCATGTCAAAGGTTGCATAAACATTATCATCAATGGGCTTCAGAGCACCACCAGGTATGAGGCCCTAAAGCAGAAACAATTTAGAAATATTTACAAAAAAAAGCATTTCCGTCAGCAAAACAACCAGTTAGATGAGGACATAAAGTCTATGAAAAATCCAAGCACAATTCATCAAATTTCCCTTTAAAATGACACCTAAATACATGTAGTCCAAAGAGCGAAGAAAAGAGAAAAGGGAAGAGGAAAAGCTTAGAAAGGAACAATATCCACTGGAACTACAAAATCATTATCACATGTTGCAAAGCTATACCCAAAATCAATTTATTGACATATAAGGTGAAGAGTAACATGCGAACCTCTGCCAACCGATCCTCGCATATGCGGAGAAGTGCAATAGCCTTCAAACTTATACGGTGAGAAGTTTTATTATTGGCAAACCTTATTAGACAGTTGACACAATCCATAAAACAATCCCCAACAACCTGATCAAAGTGTTCCAAGATAACTGCAAATCTCTATGGTATTAGATATTATGCTAAAACTGACAAAAATTAGAAAGAAACTTGATTAAATCAAGGAAGAAATAACCACAAGAAGAAAATCATACCCTGTTCAACATTTTCAAAGGCACTTTCCACAATTGACTCCAGTTCATCATCTGCAGCTGCTGTGAAAATCATAAAAACACTACGCCATCCAGATTTTATGCTTCCAACTTTAGATTTGATCATCTGCAATAAGTACCAGCCAATTATTTCCCAATAATCTGTATGCCAGCTCACATATAATGATCTTTAATGTTAACAATCATATCAAAAGAAGAAAAAAAAAAAATTCCCCAAAAGCTAAATAGGCGTACCTGAACAATACAGTCAACGATTAATCTCCGTATGGTATCACTTCGACTATTCCGCATAAGAACAACAAATGGTTTCAGAATGTCATTCTGGAAAGTGAAATTCGCAAGCTCAGCACGCTCCAGATACTTCATACCAAGCTGCCTTAGTGAATCAATGGCATACATGGCAATTTTCTCATCACGATGGCTACCAGCAGAAATAAAATGATTTGCAAGGACAGACCATATCCTAGCCCAGACCTGGAAGAAAGTAACAACAGAAACTTCTAAACTGTAAAAGTTCAAATAATATATGGGGCATGCAAAAGAATGCTCTACAGTGCACAGTTGAGAATATGAACCAAAATGTTAGCAAAGATAGAAAGGAAGACAGTGAACTGTCGAATGTCCCTGGAAACAAAGTTCTAATAAGCTGACAATTATAAGCACACTTGCCAGATCATGCAGCAATTCATTTTTCTAAATGATGTAGGACCAACTTATGTATTACCTAACTTATACATGGAAACATGAGAGCAATGTTGTACAGACATCAGCAGAAGAGGCAAGCTGTGTTAGATGGTGAACCAATATTAGCCAGTCTAGAGAGTACGAGAACCAATGTATCATCATTAATGGTGCAAATTCATGCTATTTGCAATCGCATGCGTCAACCTATTAAAGAGTGATGACATCTGAAGTTTGACCGTGAACTATCATACAACAGGAATTGCAAAGCTACTGCACCAATGGGGGCTATGACAAACAGAAAACAGAAGCAGCTGGTCGGGAGTGAATGGTCTTATACGACTATATTTTGTAACAAAAAAAAAAAAGAAAGATTCTTCTCAAATCTTTCTTGTTCTAGAAAGATTTACCAAGTTATTGAAGTTACCAGGCTACCATAACCACCTCAGGCAAGAAAAATGTCTATAATGGATTACATGGAATTAAGTGGAGAACATGACTTGAATGCAGCAATCAGATAGATATAGACCAATTACCAGCAAGCATAAAATGATCACACATTCAATTCCACATGACATCTACTGATGAAAAAGTAAAGGAGTTTGGTGAAAAGAGGACATACCATTCGTATACGAGCCATATTGTAATAACTGATCTCAACAAGCTTTTGCAAACTGAAAACACGAGCAGGAGTCTGTTTTAATTCCTCAGCTGATACACCACAGAGAGCAGTGAAGAATTCCACAACAGAATCACTGGGCAATTTAACACTATTGACAAAAACTTGTTCAGCAGGTTTCCCAGCCAGTTCTCTTAGGGATTGAAGAATAGCATCCCTGGAAATCTGGTTTGATCCATGCATGACAGTTGCAGCAATAGCAGGAGTTGAAGTAATAAATTCAAGCCGAGAAACACATTCCAAAACTGCATTCCATGTGTCCTGAAGGGAATCAGTTTCTGAGTCCGATAGTGCAAGTAAAGTCCGCAAAGCTTCAACATTTTTACTCCGCATTTCCTTCGGGGCATGCAAGAAAGTAAATCTGGCATAGAAATTCACAACATTAGATATCAACATCATCGTAGTCATTGTTTTTTCAGATAATTGAAATACCATTCCAACCAGTTATCAAAGAATAATCAAAAGCAAAGCATAGAAGCAGAATGCTTAAAATGCAGAAGACAACAAAAGAAAAGGAAAGAAATAGACTGTACAAGATGCCAAAAAGGATCTTACCGGACCAATGATGTTAAGAAAGCATAGCGCATGGTATCCATTCCCAGAACATGTGTAATGTGTATCCCAGCTTTAAACCCCTCCATGCAGAGGACCACCCTTGGCTTGTTTTCACCTTCCTCCATGGTCACAGAGAAAGTAGCAAGCAGAGGCCATCCTACAGCTTCAACCATAGGCCTTATAATTTCAATCTGTTGTACAGTATGGAAAATTCCTCTTCTTGCTCCTTGCTTCCGGAATATTGCTTGTGTCTGCTTAATTATAGCTTCACTCTCAGACTTGGCATCAGCTGATGACTTTCTTTTGGGGAGAGCCAGATTCAGAATATTGACAAGGTGGCCTCTCTCTTCACTTTCTGATTTTTGTCTGCTTTTGCCAATATCAGCTGCATCATCTTTCATTTTTATTTCTTCTTTAACAATGGAGTCATAGATCTCTTCCAATAGATCTGTTGGGGCACAATCTTCAGCATCATTCATCACATTCATGCGTATAAAATCAGACTTAGACATTTTAGGCCACACCAGTGGATTATGGGCATCAGTATTCAGCATTATAACTGCATATGCAAGAACATATGCGGTGTCTGCATTTTTGAAAAGACCTGGATTATCTGCACAATACCTGGCAGAAACAGAACACAGTCACAACAGATAAAGGCATTAAGTAACAGAAATAACAGGCAATGTAAACTAAGCATTTTGATGCCTGAATTACATTCAGTTCTAACCAAAGCATTTTCTTTATCAACCAGCGAATGACAAAAAAAAAAAAGCCCACTAAATAAAAACAAAACAAAGAGTGCATTTGGTTATTCGAATTCAACATTCCCATGAAAAATTTACTTGAAATTTTCTAGGAAAGTATATTTCAAGGAAAGCGAGTATAGGAATATTGAATCATTATATTTGGTTATAAACGATTATTTTTCTAAGAATATATAATAATTGAGTTCAATTAATTTATGATGAAAAAATATAAATTACATTAATAACCTCAATTTATGTATGCTTTTTTTCATATTCTAAAATTTTACAATATCAATATAAGCATCAACTCACTAAAATTTTTTCTAATAACAAATTAATATTGAATACAAATATTATTCAAAAATAATCAATAAATATAACATAATGACGATTAAAATATATTATGAAGAATGAAATTTAGAAAAATTTTGGCCAAAATTGATTAGCAAATTATTTTTATAAGAGTAATAATGTCCTCAATTTTCATCCACATGGTAATGCAACTTCCACACCTCTTTAGATGGAAAAATACTTTCCTACGTACATGCGAAAGTAAAGGTCATATCCATGAATCCAGGAATTTGCCAGGAATGTAATGTTCATGGGTCAAACCAAACACTGATGTTTTTCATTCTCAAGTCAATTTCTCAAATGATTCTAGCAACCAAACACCTCCAAAATGTAAAAGAAAAATGTGCAAGATTTATATAAAAGATCCAAGCCAACTTCCAAAACTACGATTGTGCAAATTATATCTCACTGCATGGAAATCCAAGCTCCATAAAACAAGATAGAGAAACAGAAACTGCTAGCTCTCATGAGAAAAGTCAAATAGTGAATTGAAGGTAATATGAAAATTAGGAAAAAATAGAAACTGATCAATATACAAAGGACAATTAGAATAACAGACTTTGATTGTATAACAGGTTTTCATCCTATATTAGATTACGCAGACCTAAAAAAGAATTGAGAGAGAAGGGTCTGCAGGATGAAAAGTGGAATTCTTGCAGAGTTTAATCATGGCAAGGGGTTCAACTTCAGTCAGGAAAAAGTTTAAACCATAAGGAGATTGGAGAGTCAAGTAAGCACTGAAGCAAGCAAGATCAAAACAAACCAGATAATGCCATGCATATAAAATGATGCATTGTTTACAATAGCAAAGAAAAAAAAAAAAAAAACCTGATTGAATAATAAATAGGAAAAAAAAAATGAATACATTTACATAGAAACACATACAAACAGATGTTCTTGAACCAAATCATTACCTTTCTGCAAACTTTTCCATGATGCGATCTATCTTTTGAGCTTCTCCAGGAAGTCGGAACCCTTTAAGAAATTCACGAATTGCAGTGTCAAACTTCATTCCGGAAAACTTCATGGAATCCACATAAGCATGCATGACAGCAAGGGGAAACTCCTCATGTTGACCCAAAAAATCACCAATAACAGTCTGCAAATCATTAATGATTACACTTATGCAAACCCAAATCAACATTAAATTTAATATTACAGAGTATAGGCATTCCACCTTGTTCAAATTGGGAGTACTTCTTAGAAATTGTGCGACTGAAATAGGATTATTTTCCACCAGCTTATTTGATATCAAATACTCTATGCCCTTAACAGGCTGCCGGTTGAACTGCAATACAACAGATTGTCAGTGAGTTCCTGAGTTCTGATTATACATGGCAACTAAAGAGACAGGCCCAACAAATTCCAAGTATCAGCAACATTGTTGAATCACACTTGTAAAGATAGCACAAGATCACTCACCTCTCCAATAGCAGCTTCCATTGTAGATTTGTGAGCCTTAGCCTTTTCAAAGTTATTGGGCCCATCTTCCCTGCTTTTTATCTCACCAGGTTCTCCAGCTGAAATCTCTTCTTCAAGGTACTCAGATCTTTTACTCTTCTTTTCAGATTCTCTACATAACTTCTCCCAATCAACTAGTGATTTAAGCACATTCACTAAACACTGGAAAGATCAAAGAAGAAAGAGTCATCCAACTTCTTCTCCTAATATAGTAGCAGAAGAAGTGCAGAAAGGAATGGTCTGTTTAACCAGAAAGGAACATACCTGAAGTGATGAGCCTTTAATTGAGTTAGCCTGTGATAAAGCAACAGAATTTGGATCTGCACTTTGAGTTCCTTGAGCTATTTTGGACAGAGTGGTTACCTATATGATAAGCAAGAAGATGACAATAAATAGGTCGAAATCATTTTGAACGCATAAAATAAAGAATAGGATGAAATAAACTCAGTAATACCATGCGTTCAAACAAGTTTGGTGCCTCAAGATCACAGTCATAGTTCACATATACATCAACAAGCATTTGAGGATCCTTGCACACTTTCTCAAGCATCCTGCAAAACTACAATGGATCAGAAGATGATATAGGAAATAAGAAAAATAACATAACTGTGAAGAAAATTTTGAAGCCAAAAAAAAAAAAAAAAAAAAATCATCAGTTCACATATACATCAACAAAGCATTGAGGATACCTTGCACACTGTCCTCTACAATCCTGCAACAACTACAATGGATCCAGATAGTATGATATAGGAAATAAGAAAAAACTACATAACTTGGTGAAGAAAAGTTTGAGCCATAAAAAAAAAAAAATAGAGTAACTGCACAAACACACACATAGCAGAAACATTTATACTAACCGAAGAAACACTATTTTATGGTAATTAGACATCTCTGAGCCATCCAATGTCGTAAAGACTCATCAATGGAAAAAACACCACTTTCACTCCTGAAAAAAAGATTTGTATGCATGACTTATTGAAAAATGCAGCGAAACAAAAGTAACATATATCATAATAAGTCAAAAAAAAAAAAAAAAAAAAAAAGAGTAATTGCAAAACACACACAATAGCAAGAAAACATTATTACCGAAGAACACTCATTTTTTGGTTAATAGGACATTCTGAGCCATCCAATGATCGTAGAACTATCAATGGAAAAAAGACACCAACTTCACCCTGAAAAAAAGATTTGTATGCATGACTTATTGAAAAATGCAGCGAAACAAAGTAAATATATCAAAATAATGTCATTGCAAAAAATTAACTGTAACAAATCACCAACATAAAATACATACTTTAAGACTTTCCCTGAAGCGCAACAGAAGAACTGAGAAGATTCCAGTTGCATACTGCAATGAAAAAGAGACAAGATGAAAAGAAAAATAATAATTTCACAGCAGATTTTTGCACATTGGATGTAGAAAAGAAAGTTGACCATTAGATTTAAAAAACCTGAAATATGACAGAAGACTGTGAAACTGAGGCCCGCAACAAAGCATATGAAAGATATGCTTTCACAGAGTCAATAAAATGGAAGTTCTTTGTAAATGAATGACTGACTCCTTCTAACAAACCCTGCAATAAAAGGTCACAAATATTTTAGATAGACATTCACAAATGACCAAATATGCAAGACAACAGCTTGAAGATTTAAGCCGTCCTTTCCTCACTTTGCTTTTCATAAGGATGAAGAAGAACAAATGACAATTTGCTTTTGTCCCATATTTTGGACATGGAACATATGCTGAAAGTTTCTCCAATGTGGAGGAAAAGTGAAGTATTTGTTGTAAACTTATACTAAAAATAAATCAATTCTTAGTGGCACACAGATATCACGGCAAATATTAGTTTGATAAGGTAGATGTCACAAAACAATACTTATATGAAGCAATCTTCTTTGCTTCAATTTTTTTAATCTTTGACTCTCTTATGAATCAAAACATTAATTAGATCAAAACAGGACCGCGGAATACTAGAACTGGGATGATATTAGAAGCATGAAAGTCGAAAATTAATAAATCGAGTGAATCAGAGTATAGATGTCGAATAGCTACCAGAGTCTGGGATAAGGCTCTGCTTCATTATGCTGTAAAAATCAATCAAACCATTCAGAAAAACACATAAATTAACCTGCAGAAGCTCTAGAGACAAAATCCTTGTCTTGGTTGTAACTTCATCATTATCTTCCTTCATACCCATCTGTAAACATCACATTTAAACAATTATTGGAATGCATTGAAAGTGCAAACAAAAATGCAATAAAAATCATGAGAAACCAACCTTGCAAAGGGTGCGAAATACCAGTAATGCATCCCGTTGTCCAATGCTCATGCTCTCTAGGTCCATTCCTCTTTAATTGTTGATGAAAGTAAAAGTTTTAAAGTCAATGAATAGATTGCAAAATACTTAATCACCCTGACTAAGAAATCACGTATCTGAACCATACCGTGTCATCTTTTTACCATCTTCAATTTGCACAGCTTTGTCAAGAACAGCCTCCAGACCCTGTATAACATATTAAAAAATACAATCTCATGAACACCACAAATCAACCAGCAAAACTTGGTACAAATATATCCAACATTAGCAATGACCAATAGTTTGCTAATTTACTAAAAATGGGGAAATAACTAATAAGTAATCACACAATAAAAAACAGATAAAAGGCATTAGTTATGCACAAAGAATCATAAGATTTATTTTTCAAAAAGAGAATTCATTGTGATAAGTAATTTAAAATAATTAGAATGGACAAAAAGATACACCTTAATATCAGCACCCCCAGCAAGATTCTGGAGTTCCTCAACGGATGCAAGAGATGTCTCTTTAATCTGGTTAAGTGCATCACCCAAAGTAACGCCTTCCTCGCTTTGGTCCACATTTGGAGTCTCTTCAACTTTTGCAGCCAATTTCTCAGTTGAAGTAGATTCTACATCCCCAGCTGAACTAGATGAAGTAGAAACCTCAATTTGCTGTTGGACATTGTTGGCTTTATTAGTTACAAGCAGAACCAACTAATGTTTGCTCTGTTTAACAAATTGTAGACATAGAAATAAAGATAATTTACTCTTCGTACAGGATCAGATTCCATTCTCCTGAATACAATGCTGATCATCTGTGTCAGCATTGCCTTTGATGTTGCTTGATTTATGGGGCTCTTGCTACACATCCAAACTGTAAAACATGAGTGGTACTCCAAGTTGATATCACATTATCATTCACATAACTACATAATAAGAACCTGTGCAAGGCAATATTGTAGCATATTCTGATTACTCCCAACAAAGGCTCCCCATGAACTGCATGTAAGACGGGTGTCAGCTGAATAATTCAATGAATTTTATTGATGGAAAACTTCAGCCGAAATAATTATAATAATATCAACAAATGCAACAACAATTTGCTGAAAAACTGTAATCATGTGTGAGCATAGGCAAGCATGCTTAACAGATGCTGTATCTAATTAAATGAAGTTAAAATATGCTGAGTGCAAATTAGTTGACAAGAATGACTCAAAAAAAAGTTGAGATAGCCTGACATGCCAAAATGATAAGTATAAAGAGCAAATATTGTCCTATAGGCCAGTACAATCTGGAGCAGCAATTCTTCACCTCTTTGGCTGAGAAAACATTCAGCCAAATAATAAATGTTGGTTGCATGTCATTCTTGCTTTAGTCAATGATGTATTGGTAACCTTCTATCCACTGTTAGAACAAACCTTAGTTATGGCAAATGGGTCTTAAGTATTTTTTACATAATTGGATCTTACTTTTGCTCCTTGTTTTATGTCAGGTTTTTTCTAGTTAAGATCCGTAGCTGTTGTGGTTTAAAGAATCCTAATCTCATTAAATAACTCAAGTTAAGTCTACATATGCCCGTTATACTTCAAGACTTACTAGAATAGTTTATGGAGAATTTGTCAAGTTCATGATGCAAGTATCAACTTGCATGTTATTATTATTGTTGTTGTTATTATTTTTTGCTCCTTTCTCCATCCTCTTTTCATCCTTTAAGTTATCAGTACTGTTCACAGAAAGTAAAATTCCAGCTATCGTGGTTATTTTGCATCATCCAACAAATCCCTACATGGTTGAAATCTTAAATGCCTGAAGTGGTGTAGCCTGTCTACTTTTTCAGATTCTCCAGTTAGTAGCCAACCAAATGCCCTCTAAACCCCCTACACGTATTGTCTGTCCCAGAAAAGCGGAAACCTAGCTTCTTTCAGTTCATCAAATTGTAGCACAGAAAACATTATTCACCAATTGCATTCAGATCACAAACACCAGCCACATTCATCACTAGTTTCAAATATAAAATCCCCAGGAATCAACCCTCCATAAAATTCACACATGTAGACTACCCAAACCTATCATACATGACAGCTTCTCCCTAATACCGAAGTTGGCATTTCTGCATATACTAGCATGCAGAAGAAAACAGCAAATATGTTCCTCTAGCCAAAATAATACGAAAAATGATTCTGTTGTTACCCTAAGCAACATACCTCTAAATTTTGTGGATGCCACTGCAGTCAGAAGCACCTTTAGCACTTGCAAAATTGTACTGCATGTGGCCATCAAAATCAAGAAAAATATATCTAGGAAGATGTTAATAGCATTCACATTCACATATACATACCTGTCAGGTGAAGAATTATCAACACAATTGCAAACCATGTTCAGAATGTCAGTAAACAGCGGGACATTTTTACCACCTTCTAGGCCAGGATCCCCCTCTAAATGTTCATAAGCAATGAGTTTCTGTGTTTACAGAAGTTTTTTAGTTAAGTTACAGTGACCATGAGCAGCAATACCATAGGCAATTATTTTGCAACATTGGCTTTCTTGATGAAACGTACGGACTTTATGCAAGCCATCATAAGTAAAACTGTGAAAATTTGTTTTAAGCAAGTATCAATGAAGTGAGTTAACATACATGAAGACAATCCAAAGCAGGTTCCAAGATTTTTAAATTCTTTGTCTCAAATGCAAGACGAAGCGGATTCAAAACAAGCTCTGCTTCAGCTCCATCTAATGTCTGCCCAGCATTTGCTAATGCAACTGTGATGTTTCCGATGTTACCCACTGGTTTAGCACTCTGTGCTTCCTCAGAAGTCTGTGGAACAGTTCCTGACTGATCTGATTGTGTTCCGGCTTTTGCAGCTCCACCTTCTAGTTCAACTGAACTGTGAAGAAAGAATAAAATAATTTACTATACTTAAAATTTTCATTCAAGCGTTTTATTTATTTGGTCACTAACAATTAATATTCAGATACAGACCCCTCAGCTCCAGCCACTGACAATGCTTGATTTGTTTCGCTTGATTTAGATTGCTGATTCGCCAATTTGGTACTATCTGAAGGAACATAAATTGAAACAAGAACATTGTCATTGCACTAATAAGGATTGAAAAGAAAAATGACTAACATGATTAGAAGAAGAAGAACCAGACTTAAAACGAAAATGGAAGCATAATTAGAGATCCAGAAACTAACCGATGTAACTTTGAATAGCCTTTTGAAGATCGGAATACTTCTTGCCCGAACATTCCTTGAGCATTGACTCGAATGCTCGGCTCACAAAACCTCCAGCAGCCATCTCTATCTATTCTACAAGGACCAATCAAATCAGGTACAGAACAGCTAGTGCTGGCGAATTCAGCTAAGAAATGATGAAACCATAGATCGAAACAGGAGATCGAAAAAGCAGAGACCGTTATATTTGGCGAGGTAATGAGAAATGAAAGGGGAAGGAGAGAGGGAATAATACCTTGTTTGGATTGGATTAGTAGTAAGAAATGATGGGTAGAGATCTGGAAATTGAGAAGAGAGGGAGTCGAGTGGATCTCTCTTTCTCAGAGTTGCTGTCACTACGGGGGGCAGTCGCGCGGAGCCCGAACGATGCCCGGATTTGATTACAAGGAAAGGAGCTACCTGGTTAAGCTGAACTTTTGCAATTTAGACCCTCGTTCTAGTTAAAAACCGTAATTTGGCCTTACAAGCATTACAAATTACGACGACTTAATCTTAGGTCTTTTTAACGGTTTAAACCGTTAAAAACCAAACCAAATTGCACTAAATTATAGCTTTTATACAATTTATTTTTCTTTTTAAATGGTTTTGTCAATTTAAATTCTATAAAATTGTTTTTAAAATAGTTTAATTCGATGTTTATTCAATTAAAGTGTTTAAAATTGAACTAAATTATATTAGATAATTTCATCACGAGTTCGTTTTTAATAGTTGAAAGTTTTTCAATCAATTATCTAGTTAACAATTGTTAACAATATCTTATGTGAATAACTGAAAATTTCAAGTTCGAAACCTTTCGATCATAAAAATTTTCGTTAATTTATAGTGAATCAAGTGGATCTTGTTGTGCAGCTTTAGTATTTATTACCTTCTAAATTATAGTTGTAAGGCTTAATATGGAAAAAAAATCTCTAACTTTTCAAAAATTACAATCATATTCAAGTTTCTAAACAATACTATTTTATGCTAATTTTTCAAAATAATTGCAACTGTACCCATTTTATATTAAAATGAAATATGTACTGCGAGTGGGGGAGGTAAAGGACGCTGGGAGCTAACTCCAAAAGTTTTCTATTTGCCACATAAAATATAGTAATTGTTTTCATTTAGTCCCTTAATTTTGAAAACTTTTTATTTTGCCTCCTAACTTTGAATTTTTACTCTGCAGTAAAATATTATATTTTTTTTCCAATCACTCATCTCCGAACGCAAATTCAGCACAACACTTTATATCACGTCCATTGCAAAAACTGATGGTGTAATTTTGATAAATGGATACAATTGCAATAAAATTTTAAAGATTAGGGTATATTAATTTATTTAGAAAAATTTGCAGCATAATTATAAAACTTCAAAAGAAAAAAATAAAATTTTTATCATTAATCTAATTTCAAAATTGTGTTATAAACAGGTCAATGGACAACTTAGATGTTAATGCTTTGAAATTCAATGACTAAACAATAGAGTTTTGAAAAGTTTAAGGAAATTTTCAATTATATCAAGGAAGACGATAATAAAGTCAGGAGAGGGCCATGATGTTATTCTCTAAAATTGCTAATAAATAGAAAACTCTATTCACTGGTCTATTGAGATAACTAATGTAGTCAAAAAAACTTGCATTTAAAATCTCTCACTCCCACGTAAGTGAAAAAATAAATCAGACTATCATTTGATTAACATTTCAAAGTACTGTTTTAATTGCCCATCTATAAAAATTAAATATGAAATATGGCTTTAATGATCATTTTATATTTTGACGGCAATTGCGATTAAATTTTTACCATATGAAATCAATGTCCATTAGCTAAATAGGTAAATAAAACCAATGTCTATTAGCGAAATACTATCACTGATGAGTCATCAACTATCAACAAACAATATTATACGGCTTTGAAGGGGCTGGAATTGAATAACGATAAAATACATTATATACATAATATATACAGCTTTGAAGGCCCATCAAATCCAGGCCATACAAAATTTGATCCTACGTCCACTATTTCTTTTCTCTCCTAAACCACTAAATGACTGCCTCGAAAGTCTAAATGTTAATTATTGCATAAACAGATCATCTCCAAATAGGTACAGAATTCTCTCAACAGCCCAACTAGGCTCAGACTTAATCCAAGCCAAGCTTTGTGTACTAGTCAACAAAGGGGCCCTACATAGTGGACAAGTTTTATGATCATGATCAACCCATCTATCAATGCACTCTTTGTGGAACACGTGGCAGCAGTTCCTTAACTCCCTGACTTCATCATACTCCATCAACTGGCCCAAGCAGACAGCGCACGTGTCGCAATCTCCTGACATCCTGTCTGTGATATCACCAAAAGCAGTCAAGATCAAACCGTCCCTGATTTGCTGAGAAGAAGGGAGAGCATGAGATTGTTGTTGAGAATCATTCGTAGATGAAGGTAAATGGATTCTGTTTCTGAACCTAAGAACCCAAGACACAGTCCATCTCAGAACTGCTAAAATAACAGCTGCCTTGTACAAGAGATGGGTTACTATTACACACGAATCTTCAACAAAGAAACCCATTAGAGAAAGACAAGAAGAAACCCTAAAGAAAGCAAGAGAAGGAAGAAGAAGAGGAAAGAAAGGGGGAGGATTAAAGGAGCAAATGGGCTCCTTATAAAGGCGAAGGTTTTGGGTGTGGGGGATGGTGGTGGAGCTAAGCAAAATGCTTTTTTTTTTTCAAAAAAAATAAAAATAAACAAAAGTATATATTTTATTTATTTATTTTATTTTTTGTTAGGTGTCAATATCTGCTTTGAGAATAAAGAATCTCTATGGTGATCAGGTCGCTGTCATGTGCAATCGTGTAAATCACAACGCTGAGACCTCTAGGGTCGGTGGTTTATTATTTAAGCTTGCTCTTTTTTCTTTCTTTCTCTCTCTTTTTTTATTTATTTTTATTTTTTTTTAATAAAAAACTCTGAGGATAGTAATTAAGATTAATTGGAAAAAAGAAAGGGAAAGTTAAAAGTTGAAAGTAGAACCAGCTGGAATGGATTATGATTATTTACTTTTGGTTATTTCATACTGACGCTTGCATCCACGATAAATAAAAAGTAGAAAAAAAAATTAAAATGCAATTAATTATCTCCTTGGCTAAAAAAAAGTGGCCCCTCTCTTTTTGTCAATCTTATTTTTATTTATATTACTTGGATAGCAATAATCATCTACATAAATTACCTCTCGTTTTGATATTTACAAATTACTATATGTTTTATTATAGTATAAAAAATTAACTATTTACTTAATTATCGTATACACCACTTATATTTTGAATTAGAGCAAGTATTATATAATTTATTAAAATTTTTATATATCATTGCGTCCATCACTAATATTAAGCAATTACTTAAATCATTTTGCCTGTAAGATTAACTATTTGACTCTCTTAAATTGGCGAATCCAATGGATTGAAGGGCCCTCATTATGGCACGTGTTTTTAAGACATAAGTAATTGGCAAAATTAATGAAGAAACTTTTGACGTGTGATCCATGTCAGGAAATAAAATAACCTATTTAGTCAAAAAAAAAAAATAAAATGGGTCAAATTTACATTGTTATCCTTCTAAATAAATTGCCGAAGAAACAAGAAAAAAAAAATTAGGTGGACAGAAAAGAAAAAGGTGGAAGCCATTAGCAATTCCTCGTTGAGTTGGTTGCCTTTACTCGATAGGTTGGAAATGACACCATTACACATGTAAAATCCACCATCCTAGTCAGATCGCACAAATAAAATAAGATATTTCTCATTTACTTATATGTGATTATGTCAAAAAATTTGTACCTGAAGCCTGAAGGTAGTCAATTACACCTCAGAAACCATTAAACAAAACGACTTAATTTTGGCCATATTGTCGTTCGCGTCATTAGACAAAGTCAGCAGGGAACCGTGCATGTATTGCCCTGTCGTTAACAAAAGATAAGCAGTGGTGCAATATGTATCATTACTTTTTAAATTCTCAAAGTAATAAGCAATTGATTTTACTAAATATCCACCGTGATCGTTCATGGCTGACCAGCTGATTAAAGAAAAGAAGGTTTAAAGAGTGAATGGAATAATCCTATCCTTTATCCCTAACAACATCATGCTCGCCTCCTCCCCACTATTTTCAAAAGCGAACCAAAAAAAAAGAACCCCGTAGCATGTAATGCCCTGTCGTATAACAAAAAGAATAGCAGTGGTGTATGTATCATACTTATTTAAATTCATCAAAGTAATAGCAATTGATTTTACTAATATCCACCGTGATCGTTCATATGCTGACCAGACTGATTTAAATAAATTGCTTCAATTAAACATGATTAAGCTTAAATGCCCGGTTAATTAATAATCGTGGTGTTAAGCTTAAAATCCGACAATATTGGCTAAAGAAGCCTAATTAATTAATAACTATGGTGAATTGCCTTTATTTCATACAAATTCAGCTAAAAGTCCAATTAATCAATAATTGTGGCTAAAAGCCTTAATCAATCACATTTTGGCAACAAATCGCCTACAGTCTAATCAATCACATTTTTTGGCAACAAAATTGCCTAAATCACACATCAATTTTTTTGGCAAAATGCCTTGAATTAATCAATCTTTTGGCTAAAAGCCTTAAAACCAACCAATTTTGGCGACAATCGCTCAATCAAACACTTTTGGCAAACTAATTGCCTAAATCAACTCATTTTGGCTAAAAGCCTTTAAATAATCAATTTTGGCGACAATCGCCTAAATAATCATTCCCAAAGTCAATATGCATCATACAAAAAAAAAAAAAATTTATTCCCAAAGTTCAATATGCATCTACAGAGAAATATTTTATTGTTGCCCTTAAAGGATGCGATGCGATGCTCCATTGTGTATCCAAAAGGAAAGAAGGAACTCTATTGGACATTGCATGAGCTGCGGTTCAGATTCTCAGTACATCCGCTAGCTGCTAGCTGCTAGCATGCATAGCTTACATTATACAAATTCAAGCAGAAAATTAATAAAAAACTATTTCTCCAAAGCAACGGACAACTTGCATTTGCAGGTTAAAGATAAAAAGGATATGTATCTATCTCCTCTCAAACGGTGGAATGTGGGCCCTGCTGCCCATGTTCTTCCATTTTCTTTCTCATCTTATATTGCAAAGTTGCAGGAGCGCAGTCCAGCGGAGTTTCACCTACAAAAGATATTAGAATTTGGAAAAAATAACTTTTAAAAAGAAAGTATCCATCGTTACCTAACAATAGTACCATCTTTTGCTAAAACTTCAACTTCTCCCAAAAGAAAAAAAGAGGGAGAAGGGAGATGTTGGGGAATAGAACATGCAAAGAGTCCAAACCCACAATAACTGTTCGAGATTAAGAACAATTGGTCAGACCCCACAGAAGACAACCTGTTAAGGTTTCTAAATTCTAAATGTACTTAAAACTTTTAGAAGTTGTATGTATATCTGGCTTATTTTATATGTCCAGATTAGTTGCACAATCATGAACATGTTCAAAGTGTTCCATCAAAAGTTTATACAATAAGATCTTGCATATCATCGGGATTCCCTCCACTAATCAAACAATCCAATGAAACGGGACACTACAGCCAGACATTACAACTGGACACATATATTATTCATTACCTTGTGCATTCTTGTAGTCAAGGCTTGCTCCAGATTCCATGAGGGTAAAAGCAATATCAGTCCGGTTAAATAGTGCAGCCTACACCCAGTTAATCCTCTAATTAGTAATAGATGCTTCCCAAAAGCAACTCCACTAGCATACATGTATGCATACTTATGAGTGGGTGTGCATAGAGAGAGAGAGAGAGAGAGAGAGAGAGAGATACCAAATGTAGTACGGACAATCCTTGCTTGTCACGGTAATTTGCATCCACACCCTGCCAATACGACAATATTTAATGTCGTATCCAAAATCAATCTTGCAATTAAGATGTTATATACCTCGCACAGTAGCTTCTTGACGGCAGCAGTATCACCATTCTTTATAGCTTCCCTCAAACCCTAAGCATAACATTTTTAATGCAAGAGTGAAATATTAATGACTAGTCTATGGCGAGTTAAATGCTAATGCAAACTTTGACCTCGTATTACCATCTTAAATGGTTTATACCTCCCCATTAACTTCATAATCCATCAAAGGCTTATTAGTACCACCATTGGTTATTTGACCATGATTGAAAACCGAACTGCAAATTTTTGCACAAGTTAATGAATATTCAGGAAACTCAATGTAAGATAATAATAGACCACCCTTGCAAGTCAGCAGCTTACAATCTAAATAAAACTACAAACTTGATAAAAGAAGGTGAATGCAAAAGAAAAGAAAAAAAAATTCAAATTACAATGATATTACAGCCTCTTTAGAGGAAAGACAAAATGAAAAACAAACTAGCTGGCCGGGGAAAGTATACAGAAAAAAGAGTTCTTTCTATTCTATTAGTATTTTCTATTAGTATTCGATTAGTATTAGTTAGCGATCCCGGCTCAGTGAGTCTTTTCTTCCGCAATGATTTGTGGTTTTTTTTTTCTTTTAATGAACAAACCCAAACCCAAAGCCAAACTTCAACTTCAAACTCATTTTGTAGACAATTTGAATTGGAACAGAGTCTTAAAACCCTGGATTCTAATATACAATGTACCATTCAGGGAATGAGGAATATACAGTCAAATAGTGACTTCGAGACAGGAAAAGAAAGCACGAAACTGAATTTTACCCTCACCTTGTAAATTGCTATCATGTCAACTTAAGGTGTCAATCAAATCATATGCTATTACATGAGTCAAAGGGACGTCTCACATAATTCACATTTCATATTCTCCAACAACATATTCGAACATGACAATGCAAAGCTACTTCAAGAGTAATTACATATAAAGCTGCTTTATATTTTTTATAGTATGGAAGAAGCGAGTTCATACCTAGGCTTGTTGTTTGAAGTGGAACCTCTATTCTTAGGGATGGCATCTATCTTCTTTGGTTTTGGATTTGGTGGAGAAGAACTGGTGGAGGGGGTTTTCATCTGACAAATAACAGATTTAATATGATAAAAATATCATGGACTGGAAAATGCGCTTGAAACTATTAAGGGAGTCACACCTGCAGGGGGAGTTCATCTGTGGTGGGAGCTGGAGGTTCACATATGCATAAAGGCATTCCACACTTGCACTCAATAACATTTGTAACAGACTGATGCTGTGTAGATGTTTCCATTTTCGAACTTGTTTCTGCACCAATGTCTAACCTAGAAACTTTATCTGTTACAGAACTAACTCCACCTGACAAAGCATGTGGGTCAACTTTTACTGACCTGCATCAAAACGAAATGTAAGAGAGTTATTTATTCTGAAAAATGTAATAAAGTGCCAATTAGGCGAGAGAAAGACAAGTCCTGTTAGTAGCCAAAGCTACCAGAAGATAATAAATATTCATGCAGCTGACCACCAGAGATGATGAACTGCATAAATTAAATGCATCATTTGTATCATGGCTGGACATGCTCCACAAGCAAATAACTTCTTTGACTTCAAAAGTAGCATAGAACACCCACTAAATTTGACTTCGAGACTGATAACTGGCAGTCTTAAAGACTTAAGGAAAATATTTAACTCCATCTCTCCTCAAAAACTGGTTTTTGTTAGAAGATTTATCCAAAAGTCATCTGTGACGAAATAACAGCCTTGCTCTTCGGCCAAACACCCCCCCCCCCCCCAAAAAAAAAAAAAATTCGTTAGAAGATTTATCAAAAAGTCATCTGTGACGAAATAAACAGCCTCTGCTACTTCGGCCCAAACCCCCCACCCCAAAAAAAAAAAAAAAAAAAAAAAAAAAAAAAAAAAAAAAATCGATATCCTTCCCTTTAGTGCACCCCACACTCTAGAAGCCTCACTACTGAAGCCCTTATTCTTACTCCAAACATCATTCCCAGCCTTATGCTATGAGGAGACATGCCATTTGGATTAAAATCCATTGGTCTTAAAGCTCTTCCAGAGGACACTGGGAGTATCAAAACTGAAAATAGCTTTAGCAATTCCACATTGAACAACCAAATATTGAACTACTGCACCACATCACTTCAAATTTTTTCCAAAAAGTTTGGAATAGAAATAGAGAGTGACAGTGCCATAATAATACTTCATATATGTCAGTCACACAAGACAGATACATTGTTGACATGAAAATTACTCTAATCCTCTGTGTCTCAACTATTAACCAGTTCACTGCTAATCTGTTGCACATTGAAACCGAAACTCTAGGTTCTAACCATGGTTCATTGATAAAAAAGTTCTACGCTGTTCATATCAATAAATCACCAACTTAACCAGTTTCTATCATTGTTTCCATTTACCAAGTTAGCAATTTTATTTTATTGTCTTATTGGTTATCTGAGATGCAATCCCACCTAAGACATTCTTCGGTGCAGTTGCTATAGCTATAGGTTCTTCCCAGTTAATCTCAGAAAATCTTTAAAGCATAACAGAGAGAAAAGGCAATTTAACGTCAGTACTTCCAAAATGACGTGGAAACACATCTCAAGTCAGAACATTCAACATAGTATTCTACGTACTCTTTCAACATTCCCAATTCAATGTGAACAATATGTTATTGCAATTAAATTTAAGTTGAAACAAAGCAAAGAATAACTATTCTATCGAATTTCAAAGAAGTGTCAGCCTTACCGAGTAGAATCATTAAAACAGTCAGCGCAAACTCTAACGTTGGATTGTATGCCAAATTGCGGTAGAGTCTGAATGAATGCATAGAAAAAAAGAAAGCAGCCAATTGATTCATCTCAGTTCGTCCAATAGATTAAAAGAAAAGAGAAGGACCGAAAAAATCATACCATTTGATTTGATGAATGCTCGTGGCATAATGTTCTTCCACAACAACGGCAATGATGCTACAAAACGATAGACAACAGAAACTAAGCTAAATGAAACATCTACAGCTCATCCAATATACCTTATGAATCAGAATACGAATCAAACAGTTCGGATCAATCAAAGACGGAATTAAAAATCAAATAAAACGGATCGACCTCATGAACGCATGATTCAAATGAACAAGTCAAAATTTTTTTTTCTCTCGTGAATTTATATATTCAATTGAAGATATCGATTTGTTCAATTTAGTACGTAAAAGAAATGAGGAATTACCCTTCGACGGAAAGTGCTGAAGCTGCATTTACAGACGTCACAACGATCTGCTTCCTGGAAAGGCGGAGGCTCCAATGCCATTTCTCGTCTCCGATCTTTCTCTCTTCGGCCGCCGATTCACTTTATTCCCAGCTACGGCAAACAATGAACGGATTTCTTTCAGTTTCCTTTTTGTATCTGAAGAATTTCAAGTTTCAACGATGAAACAGAGTAAGCTCCACTTTCTAAGTTCCTATCCATTGCATTATTCTGATTCAGATGTTCTTGGCCCACCCGGTTATGGTCATCCGGTTACCCAAATGCCCGCGTAGAAGTAATCCTGGGCCCACAAAGATTTTATCTAATCCAAATAAATTGGCAAACAAGATCCAGATTGGATCAAGAAAGCCCATGGGCTTTCAGACCTGTTAACTGCCGCTTGGATATTTAATTTGTCTACATCTCTGGTTAGAATCTCTGGGTCAGAGCGGTCCAAGCTACAAAGTCCGAATAAGATGCTTTCAAGTGTCGGTCATATTAATTGGTTAATTAAATAATTAATAATTGAGTATTTATTTCATAAATTTTTTTTTGAAAATGATTTTAAAAAGGAATTAAATTTAAGTGGTACTTACACTTTTAAGTTTAAAAGGTTCCCATTAATAAAAATTAATGTTAGAGTTTTTTTTTTTTTTTGAAAGGCAAATTAATTGTTAGAATTTTAGCATAATAAAATAAGGTTTATTATTTTTCTTGGCTTAAAAAAAAAAAAAAAGAGCGAACTCCACCGTAGAAAAGAAGATAAGACCGTGTACCACCAAAAAAAAAAAAAAAAAAAAATAAACCGTGGGTACCATCAGGGAAAAAAAAAAAAAAAAGAAAGACCAAAGCCGCAATCCCTGTCCCAGAATAAAAGTATAAAACGGTGCAGTATTAATTATTTATTGAGGAATAGAAGTTGTCAAAAAAAAAAAAAAAAGAAAAGACCCAAAGCGCAATCCTGTCAGAATAAACAGTATAAAAAACGTGCAGTATTAATTATTTATTGAGGATAGAAGTTGTCTGGTTTGATTCAATTCAAAAATCAGTACGATTCGATTTGATATTTTAACTTGTGGTGTCTCGAAACGTACCATCTCACTCACTGTGAGAGACAATTGCCTGCCCAAAAGGACAAATAGAAAGGGGAGTTTCCTGACATACGTGCACGGCAGCAAAACAAATCAATCAATGAACGTTGATCCTTTATTTGTTTTATAAAAAAATAATTTTTGAACCTTTTGATGTTTAAAATGCTAGAAAAAATTAGATAATTTTAATGAAAAAATAGCTTCTCCCTTCTAAAAAAATAAAATATTTAAAGAACGTCAATAAATTTATTAAAATTTTATTTATAAACACATATTTATTTCCACACTTTCCATCATTAATTACTAATGTTGATCACCACCATTAGCTTAGTGTATTGTGATTTATTGTTTCGTTGCGTGTTTTGTTTGTATAATAATAAAATTTTAAAATGTGAAAATCCGGTAATTATAAATATTTTAGTAGTTTAAATTATAATTTTAAAGTTAAAATTAAAAGATAATGAAATAAATCATTCTTAAAAAATAAGTAATTTTTTAAAAAATGGACGAATTTAAATATTTATTTTGAACTGTTGATTGAATAACGTTTTGAAATTGTGATAATGAAATATGGAAGAGACTTTAAAAGTAAGCGACACAAAGAATCTCAAAAAGGTCAGAAACATCAAAGCAAATAGAGCGACCAAGTTTTCTAAGAAAATAAATTTTTTTTTTTAAATTTCAAGATATAAGTTTTACTAAATTAATTAACTCCAGATTAATAAAAGATTAAATTTTTAATAGAATTTTTAATTTTAAAATTAAATCAAATTAAACTTATTAAAAATTTTAATATAAAATCAAATCCAATCATTATATAAATGAAACTAAAATTAGAAAAATCAAAATATATGCATTTAATTATAAAAAAATATTTGTATACACTGAAGGTATATCTAATTTTTCATACATCTGATTAATAATTAATTTTCATTTTAAAAATTTGATATTCTTTTATTATATTACATTATTTCTTTAATGAAAAAATTCATTCATTATATATTTCAATTATTATTATGAATAGATATTAATATATGATTTTAACAATAGAAATAGCTATATTTTCAAACGAATTTTATTATACAAAAGAATTATTTAAATATCATATTAAAAGAGTTTTATTTAAATATATTTTTTAATAGAGTGTGCTAAAAAAAAAGATGGTAAATTGGCAATAAATATTTTTTTGATTGGATTGGATTATCTCTATTTTTATTGAAACCCTATACATAAATTTAAAATAAAATAAACAACAAAAAAATAACAACCGAAGAGAAATTGAGCTGGAAAAATATTTATGTGGTTCCAAAAAAAGAAAATAAATTAATTGGTTAAAAAGCAAAAAGTTTCAATATAAAAAAAGGAGAAAAAAATTTATTTTCAAAAATTAAATTATAAGGTCCCTCAATTTTAACTTTCATTAATATTTTAATTTTTCATCCAGACAAAGAGATTAAAATATTAAGAATCATAAATTAGAGAGCATTTTCTATTTTTTTTTTCCATAAAAAATAAAGAAAAGTCAAAAAAGCTAATGAAATAAAATAATATAATTAATAAACCCTCGTGCCAAAATGGCACGTTTAAAAAATGCGAAGTCATCCGGAAACAATGCTGGCCACTAGCTATGATTAACTGATTTTTTATCTGAAAGTTGGGTTAGCTTGCCTGCCTACTCCATTAAAGGACAACATATTAAGCTTTTAAAAGTAAAACACAAGGCTCTAGTCAGGTCAAGTCTATTTTCTCCTTCTCTTAATAAATCCTCTGTGTCCCTAAAGAGAAGAACAAAGGAAAGAATTGGTGGGTTACAAGTACTCTGTATCAAATGGAGGGTGAATCTGATTCCTACGAGGGAGTGAAATCCAAAGCTGGAGAGCAAGAAGTGAAAAAAGAGGTAGAGGACGCACCTAACAATGAGAACATGGGATCTTGCAAAGAAAGGGCTCATCTTCTGACAAACAGCACCGGGTATGAATTTATGAGTTTACTTTACTCATATGAAATATACCAAATTTTTTAATTTTGGGAGATGGGATCTGTTGTAACTGTGAAGAAAAAGCGAAGAGTAAGAGGGAAATCATGTGGGTAGAGAGATTTAGTTGTAAAAATTGATTGTTGTGTAGAGATTATATTTAGGGGATGGTTAATTATGGAAAATTAGAACAAACTACTTAAAGCTTAAAGGGAGTTGGTGGAGAACTGGATGTATGTATATTGCGTTTTCAATTTGTTGTCTTTTTATCATGGTAATTTAATTTTGATAAAACTGAATTCTAATTTTGAGTTTAAGTTGAGAAGTGCTCCCCAAAATGGAAGTGGAATAGGATATCTGAGATTTGAACTTAAAATATTTGATTCAGGCTGTCTTATTTTGTCATTTGTAAATAACGCCTAGATTGGGATTGGGCCTTTGGCTTGTATGAGCTGCATAGATTCTGAAGGAGGTTAATGATTGAGTTGACTTCATAAGGGATAGCATTAGTTACTGTTTGATGAAATAGACTATATTTATTGCAATTAATTACACTGTTTCTATACTCTCTTTGTATTTCACAGAGTAAAAATCAAGAGTTGGACTGAAATAGATTTTTCATATTGTTCACATATGGTGCTTTTGTTTCTCTAACTTGTTTAATTTGATAAGTAGGAGTTCTAAATACCCATAATTAAGCTACATAAAAAGTTGTGTTTGTAAGATTAGAGAAGAAGAGAAGTACTGAAACTCTTCTAAAGAGCACCATGAGACTTGCAATTCAGCATCCTTATGAACAGGGGCAGATGCAGAATAGGATATGAAAAGGGGGGGGGGGGGAATTAATTTGAAAATTTAGCTGTTTTCCATGGTTAATAAAAATTTCTATTATATAGCACTTACATCAATAAACATATCAACTTCCTTGTTTAAAATAATTTAAAAAAGCTTCGCAATATATGTATCCTGCTTATGAATGAAGATAAATATGGGTAAAATGTGAAACTACTAGTTTTAAACTAGTCAAACATGTTCAAGGCTATTTGCCTTGTTTCTTTTTTGTAAAGTTCCAATTTTGAGCATACTGACAAAGATAAAAACTTCTGATTGAGTATAAATATATAGTACTTCGGGTTACTAATTGTTTCAATTAAATGCTTGGTATCATTTGTTTGCCAAAATGGAGACTTGTAATGAGTTTGCTTTGATGTGTGATAGGTTTTGACTTTTGAGGTGCTTTGTACCTTAATTGCGTTATCTTGAAAATGGTGGAGATTTATTATGGCAGTACTTGGAAATTTTTTTCAATTCTTCTTCTTTTCCCAAATCTCCTTTTGAAATAAAATTTGTAGCTTCAAAACTGTTGCTAATTTGCTTTTTGTCAACAATAGAAATTCAACTATGCGCCACATTCCCTCCTTAATTTATTTCCAGAAAAACTTGTCTTTTTGCTCACTAAATGGTAGGAATTCTGTAGGCAGCATGTTGATATTTTGTGCCGCTAATGGATGAGTAGCCTATTGACAACCTACGTGGCAGGATATCTTCATGTGTGTATTGTTTTAACTGTTTATATTTGCAGCAAAAGCTGTAAACAAAATTTTATTGTTTGTTCAAATATCCATGCGTCCTCAAATTTCACTTGGGTTCTTTCTTTTAAAGGAGAAACTGTTGAAAGTTAGATACATGCCAAAAAAGTTCAATGTTAATGCAACTCTAATTTTTGTATTAGGCCTATATCTGGACCAAATGCTATTGCTACCTCAGATCAGCTCACGATATTCTATGGTGGAAGTGTTCTTGTATTTGATGCAATTCCTGCTGAAAAGGTTTGTCTTTACTGATTACTGAAGCTTTCACGAAATGAGTAAATTTCTATAGATGTAGTTTACGCTAACACTTTCACCATGTTATGCTCTTAGGCTCGTGAAATTATGCTTATTGCCGCTGCTGCCGCAGCTGCTGTTAAACCTGCTGATATGAAGAAGGTTGTGCCTGGCTCTCCAGCTTGTGGTACACCAGTTCTTACAAGGTCTCCTTCCCTCCAAAGTGCTACAAATGCTTTGCCTTCTCCTCAAGCCCAGCTTGGCTCGTCCCTTTGCAAATTGCAAGCTGGTAATACAGAAATGAACTGCCTTCACTGTTGTGTTTAGAGTTTTTCATGTTCGTTCTCTTCGTTTACATGAATATAACTATATATAACTGCACGATTTCAATTGTCTTTCTCTGTTGGTTCAGAATTACCAATTGCAAGGAGACATTCTCTTCAGCGATTTTTTGAGAAGCGACGAGACAGGTACACTCCTTCCACACTTGGTGTGCCTGAGAAATTCAGACGAAATTTAAGATAAATTGGTGGGGTTTTTAGTTGGGAATTATCACCAGAGTCCACTAGCTTGGACAATCTTGAATTCCGGAAAAATAGACATAAAACTGAATAATATCCCTCCTACTTTCAGAAGCAATCAACAAAACTTTTATGCAAACTTATAGAACTTTGATGGCTTTACACTAATAAATGTAATCAAAGAACTAAACATTGACTGATGACTAAAGACCTGATATTTCTTGAAATCAGAAATTGCTCTAATGACTGACATACTGTAGGTATTCATTGTACATTCAATTTAGTGACTGAATCAATAATCTAAAATCCAAAGCATATTACATAAACATTGATTGATAAAGCTTCAAGCGACTATCCCAGAAATTACTTGATACCAGTGTTTGCTGCTGAATCATATTTGTGCATCTGCATGATGTGTATTCTTATTGAATCAGCTGCCAAGTTTTTACTTCACTTCCCCCTGCAGGTTGTGCAGCAAAAACCCATATCCCACTCCCGCACCAAAAAAGGCTGAAGCCACAAAACCTGATTTCAGTGCTGAAGTTTCACCTGATGCAGACTGCTATGGCAAACCTCTTGCACTGGAGAAAGAAATTCAACCAAAGGTTGCTGCCAACCTTGTTTGACATGCACAAAAAGCTTCTGATGTATTAGTGAAAACCTTATGTTAACTTATATTGTTAGCCTGTATTGTTCTAGCAAATTGCATAGTACGTTCAGGTGATGTTTCGACTTGCTCTCAGACTGAATGAGGTTAATGGTACAATTTCTCATTGAAACCAATGGGGATTTGTTCACATGATTGCCTCTTTAGTCCAAAGCAATTGCAATCTCATACTGAACCATTGCTTTTAGGACAGCTACTTGTGTTACTATAAGTAGCCATGAACAGTTGACGAAATGGTGTCCGTGTATGTTGTCCTCTTGTTGGTCTAAAGTGTAGTGTTGGTTACTGGAGACCTGCATTTTATACATTCTATGTCTTTGTTGAAAATTTGAAATTGGTTATTTCTCATGATGCTTCCATACCCGTAAAACGTTGGTCGTATAAAGTTGTCACTTGGCATAAATACATGACAAATCATGCATTATACTTCGGGTACATTATGTGTTGGCTTCATTCTTGTTTGTTGTCCAAAGCTGAAGGGAAATTTGCCGAACGGATAAACAAATAAGCAAATAAAAACCTAAACAATTTTTTAAAAAATTGGAAAATGACAACCAAAAGAAAGAAAAGCGTGAATATTGCATTTCTATGTTGAAAAGCTTCTACTCCATCGACATATCCTAGGAATAGGATCATAGATTCTTAAATCATTCAAGAGGCATGCGGAAATTTCCAAGAAAAATTGCGGGCTGCCGCTTTGATATAACATGGAGTAATTCCAGATTATTGATTTCACAGGTTTGAATTCTGTGATCTAAAGTCATGGCTGATTCTAAAGAACGTCAACCAAGTGCTGAAAAGCAATCTCCCAAAATCACCTTAACACAAAACTCAAAAGGACAAGTGATAATAGAATCTTTAGCTGCTTGATTCATCCATAAAAAGTTCCATCCTAATTGTAGAACACAAATTTTACATACCAAGTAGTAAAAATAAAAGATACTGACATCAGCTCCTATATGCATTGACCAAAGATCAAGCCTAGTTATTAACCATATGTCTCACTCTTATATTTGGCACATTTCAGTGCATGCTACGCAAGACACCATGAATGTAGCCACCAGTCATTACCAGCGACACGAGAGATACAACACCTGCAGGAAATACCTTCTTTGACCTCAAGAATCGTGAACCCATCACACCTAGGAGTATAGAAGACACACCTGAAATTTGAAGATATAAAAGCAAGATTAAAATCATAATCAAGTAGCCTACATGATGAAGGTGAGATGAGAAAGCAACACATAATAGAAGTGGCTATTGCCTGAGTCTTGGAAGTGCAAATGTAAATACGTCAGCCAACTCATAATAGAATTCAATACTACTACGCCCTTGAGAAAAACAAGTAAATTAAAAAGAAAAAGTAACCATTAGCTTCAATCACAAAATCAATTATGATGCTAAAGTGCTTTCATCAGCATATGAGAATATCAGATGTGAAAGAATACATCAGGCAAATTGCTAATATAAAGAAAATCCCAGATGGCAGATTGAAAAGTATAATTCAGAAAGTAGGGCATTAGAAATCTATTAAATGGTTTGAACAGAAAGAAAAAATTTAGAAGGGCAAGTCCCGGAGGCGAAAATGCTCCTTGGCAAGTGCTATCCTTTAATGCAAAATGACAGCCAGTTAGAGCACATGAATAAGCTACATTTCTAGCAAACAGAATATGGGAAAGTGAAATAGCAAGAAGAATTAAATCAACCAAGAAAATATTACCCAGCCCTATAGCCGACGCATAAACTGGATTTGTAGGAAGCTGTGTATGAACATAATACAATACCGAGGCAGACAGCCCTCCAGCCAAAAGTGACTTCTGGCTACCGCTCTTCATATAGCCCATAAGACCACCCACTGCACAACCAAACCACAACCATGTAAATACTAAATATTAGGTGAGTAAGAGCTCATATGATCAAATGGCATCAATAACAGATAAACAACCAATTAATTAAACCAAAAATAGCCTAAAACTAAGCTCCAACAAAAATATAAAATAATAATCGATTCAATCATGTACGAAGAAATGTGTCAGATGTCAGTTATCTGTCATATGATCTTGAAGATCGAAAGAACACTCTATCTTATAATAAAAAATATATAGAATTTGTTCTCAATCAAACAAAGATCTCAACATTATTTCAAGTTTGTTGAAGGTAGTTCACGCATATAGAAATTGCCTAAAGCCACATTCTTTAATTTCTAAAATCACACCTTAAAAGAAATTCAAAGGTCAGATCTTTATTTGTAATTAAAAGAGCATAAGAAATGGCAAGAGAGATTTACTTCCAACAAGTGCAGCATAACCAAGAGTCAATTTCTGTGACATAGACAGTGCCATCTTCTTCTTCTCACCACCGCTGTCACCCTCTGATGATCCTCCTTCTCCTTCGTTATCCCGATCACCGCCGCCGCCTCCTCGTCCTCCGCTATTATCACCACCTCCACCGCCGCCGCTTCCACCTAAATCCCCGTAACTGTCACCACCGCCTCCAATATCAGGTCCAATCTCAATCCCTTCCGTTGACAAATCAATGTTATCGTTTAAAATAGTAGGCGCTTCGAAACCCGAAGAGACAGCCCTAACAGCCGTTACGGGCTTCAAATTCCTACCAGAAGAAACAACAAATCTCCGGTATCCCGTCGAATATTGCTGCAGCCTTATTGCCGTTAAAGGAGTCGTGTAAGTTCGAAATCCGAACTTGGAAGGCTCCAGAAGAAGCAGCGATGACTGTGACGCTACACCTAAAACCGACTCAGCCATTTCGGTTCTTATGACTTGTTTTCACGTTCACCCATTTTGCTTACTCTTTCTTTTTTCCCCGGATTTTCCCGGTCTAGAATTTGTTCTACAAAGTTCTGGTACACAAAAAAAGATTAAAAGCCCGGCCCAGGTACGTCCAGGATAGGCCCAATGGAGCCCAATAAGAGAAATAGGGGACCGACCGGGAAAACCGGAGAATCAAGAATGCGACGGCAACGGCATCGAGATCTCTGCAGTGAAACACAAGAAAAGAGGTCGTAATTAACGGCTTTTTTTGTCTTTAGATATTTTCATATCCATGATTTTCCTTTTTTTTTATTTAATTTAATAAATTATTGTTTGAAATGTTTGGCTAAGGAATCAATTCTGGGCATTGACTTGCAGACAGAGAGGAAGAGATTCCTCTACGAGGAGGCTGCTAAAAAAAAGGAAACAGAGAGAGAAGGGAAATTGCTTTTCTTTCTTTCTTTGCTTTACTTTGCGAAGGTCAGCACTCAACACTTAGTAGCAAAGCCTTTGACATGGAAATGTTAAATCTTTTCTTGGTTTGCTTTTCTTTTACTCTACCAGTGGTTACGTGTGCTTCGCTTTCTTTTATGGTTAAAGTGGTATACACACATGTGCAGCCCTAGCTAACGTGCTTCACTTTGCCCTTAGTTATTTTAAGACTTTGATTGGATCTAACACGAATCCAACGTTAAGTGTGTGTTTAGATTTTGTGGTTTGATTAGAGTCAACTAGTTTAGTTCACTCTTCTTGTTTTTACTCTGTTTGTGTAGTGTCAACGCCAAAGCAAGAAAAAGAGAGGCTATAGCTAGCTGAGCTAGCTAACATAGGAAGCTTCCTACTACCCTTCCTATAGTTTTGCTTTGGCTTTGCCTTTTTTTTTTTTTTTTACCTCTTTTTGTTGGATTTGTCGTTGTCTCGTCTCTTTAAATTTGCAAAGAGAGAAGACCCACCACAGCACTATTAACCTCTGCTTGTTTCAGTATCAGTATCAGTATCAGTAACACTCTCTGTCTTTTAATTCTCTCTAACTCTGGCTCCTCCATTCAGAAACAAACAGGTACATTATCTAGTTTCCTTCTCTTCATTATTCCATTATTCATCTTTCCTTTTGTCTTTCTTTGTTCTTGTTTTTAAATGTGGGTGCCTACTGTTCTTCTTATTGTCTCTATCTTAGTTGGTTGTTCTCTTCTTTGTCTTTTGATGACTTGGTATAGAGCTATTGGGCGAAATTGATATGATTCTGATTGTTTAGCAATCTTGTTTCTGCTGATATTGATTTGTTTTTCTGCCAAATTAGATCATTATTATATGATTGATGTCGGTTTCTACGTGCTAGAATAGAATCTAAGCAAGAATATAAGAATCTAATGAAAAATGCCCTCATTTATCAATGATGCTACTTGCCCCCTTTTCATCTTCTTCTTTTTTTCCCCTTTCTTTTTGTTGATGCTAATTTCCTTGTGGCTTCTCTCCAAAACAAAAGTTCATTTCTTGATCCCCTTTTGGTTCTTTCCCTTGCCTTTTCTTTTCTTTTTCATTTTTTGTTTGCTACGCAGCTCTATCATGTTCTTGTCAAATTGCCTGCTTTATTTTTATCTTTGGAGAATCTTTTCTATCCTTTGATGTTAGCTTATAGGTGAAATTTTAAAGAAAACAAAATTTCAAGCCTTTTTATCTTCAATTTGCTGTCGTCTTGTAAACCATCTTTATTGTTGTTTCTGCCCAAGAAAATAAGAAGCTCATCTAAATTGGACGAGGGTTTCATGGGGCTTTCTTTATAAATTGTGCTCGATTAGTGTTAGTGGTTTGAATTTTGAAGAGCTCTCTAATTTCTGGCGTTGCAATCACTAATTACCGAATCGGTTTTTTTGTTGTTACAGTTAGTATTTTCAAGTTTTAAATCAATGGAGCTCTGTGATTCCTGGGCCTCACTCCCAAGTCGAAAGAGAAAATTGCAAGAAGAAGATGAGGTCATGCTCAACTTCTGTATGGAAGAGCTCAATCAAGACCTTCTTGAAAGGGTTCTTTCTTGGCTACCAACTTCCACATTCTTTCGCCTTAGGTCAGTATGCAAGAGATGGAAATCAGTAGCAGATTCTGCTAGTTTCAAGCTTGCCTGCTCCCAGATTCCTTCACGAGACCCATGGTTTTTCATGGTCGATCCAAATCTTAACAAATGGACCATCTTTGACTCTGCTGAAAGAAGTTGGAAGAAACTCGATCATCCACCTCTCCTCCGGCAAACCTCTGCTTGTGATTCATTACCTGTTGCAGCTTCTGGTGGCTTAGTCTGCTTTCGCAGTGAATCAGGTGACCTAGTTGTAAGCAATCCCGTGACAGGATCTTGTCGCAAACTCCCTCCAGTCCATCCAGCCACAGAAAACCAATCTCTTAATGCCATTGCAATGAGTACATGCTTGAAAAGCCAGCAATCTTACAAGCTAGTTTTGGTATCTGGTGAACTACCAACACTGTCATGTAGAATCTATAATTCAGATACCAATTGCTGGGAAGAAGAGATTTCATTAAAGAGAAAGGTTGACGAGTCCCAAGAATTTGACTCACCTGATGATAATGCTGTCTACTTTCTTAGTAAAGCTGGAAATGTTGTGGCTACAGACATGCAAAGGAGCCCATCTAAGCAATACTCATCAGTTATGAGTGTTAAAGATGGAGAGGAAATTGCTTATTTCCTTAGCTCATCGGGGACAATTGTAGCCTGCAATCTAGCGAGTAAGTGGTTCTTCGAGTACCCAAGACTATTACCTGTGTTTTATGAGTACTCCATTGATGTGTTGGAGTGTGGAGGAGAAATGCTAGTTGTTTTGCTATCAGAATTTTTCGGAAGTGCAAGCATTAGAGTATGGAGGTTTGACGAGGATATCCGATCATGGCAACAGATTGCAGCAATGCCTCCAGCAATGTCACACGAATTCCATGGGAAGAAGGTAGATATCAACTGTGTTGGAGCTGGTAACCAGATATTTATCTGCTTGAACTCTGCTGAGTTCTTCAGTTATGTTTTGTGTGATTTGAATACTAATGATTGGGTTGAATTGCCAAAATGTTTCATGAACGGTGAAGCTGTGGAATTCATGTCTGCCTTCTCGTTCGAACCACGGATTGAGGCTTCTGTCTGAGAACAAGTTTATTTTACAGGATTAGAGATGTATTAATGATTGTAATTGCTTTTTGTGATTCCTTTTTTTTCCCACTTAATATTCCTCAAAATTTCCTTGTTTGTTCTCTCTGTTGTAATTTTTTTTCTTCTTATATTCTTTTGTGATTGATTATTTTGGCAACTTAGCCAATGGAGGTTAAGATGAAGCTGTCAATGGAAATTTGCCTGATTTCTTTATTGATAATGTGTTTGATTCTTCTTTTGTTGCTTTTCTTGCACCGTGTTTGATTCTTGAATTGAAAGACAATGAATGAAGGAAATGCACAAGAAACTGATAATGAGAATGAAATTATTTTTAGTGAGTTAAAAAAAAAAATCCCTAAATATGCTTACTGGTTGATGGAGAATAAATCTGTCTGGAGAAAGGATTTCTATATTGCTTTGAACGACTGCCGTTTTACACCAGAGACTAGAAGGACCAGTCGATCATTTTTGGGAAGCTCTCCCACAGATAATCTTTTGGGACAAAAATCAGATGCGCGAGAAACCAAAGTAGTAATGTGGTCTTGATGACGCGGTTGATCATGATTTGACGAAGTCTGGATTCTTTCCACGTTGATAGTTAGCAGATATTACTGTCACGGTTTCCTGTTTCCTCCTCATTAAGAAAAATAATCACACAACATATGGTAATATTCTATTGCAATATAATTTAACAGATTTAAAAAAGAAGCCAGAATAGAAACAAAATTATTATATATATAAACCAAAGTAGTAAATGTGGTCTTGATGAAACGCGGTTTGATCAATGATTTGAAACGAAGTCTGGATTCTTTCCCCACGTTGAATAGTTAGCAGATATTACTGTCCACGGTTCCTGTTTCCTCCTCATTAAGAAAAATAATCCACACACATATGGTAATATTCTATTGCAATATTAGATTTTAACAAGATTTAAAAAAGAAGCCAAGAATAGAAACAAATTATTTATATATATATATATATATATATATATATATTATATAAACGTATCCTATTTTTTTAAAATTTATTGTAATTTAATCTAATTTTATAAAATTATAAAATTATTATTGATCGAAAATTTTAAAGTAAAAATATACTTAATAAATATAAATTTTTATATAATTTTAAAATAATTCAATAATTTATCATAAATAATATCTAATTTTATAAATTATAAAATTATATTGATCGAAAATTTTTAAAGTAAAAATATCTAATAAATATAATTTTATAAATTTAAATATTCAATAAATATCATAATAATAAGGTATACTAGAAATATAATTTTTCAATTTTTTATCATTAATAATTTATTAATAATTATCTTTTAATTCATCGATAGATTTAAATAGTTGAAATATTATTATAATTACATAATAAAAATAAAATCTCTTCCGCTTGAAGAGAATTTGAATCCAATCCACTTTTCTCCTGTTAAATATTTTGTTTTTTAGCCCATTAAAATTTTTCATTATAAAAAAATCATTTTTATTGGATGAATTTGTTTTTTTTAATTTTCAGAATGAAAATTTGACAATTCTAGAATCCTTTCCGCGTTAGAAATATAATAACAGACCAAACCATTACTCAAACAGGCCCTGGTTTCCCCTTCGCTAAGAAAAAGAATATCATAAATTCAGAACAGAAATTCAACACAGCAAAAATTGAAGCTTTTGTAAGTTCCAGATTTTGAATTGCGAGAAAACAAAAATGGCATCATCTGAGGAAGGATTGAAACAGCAATTAGAAGAATTGCAGAAACAGCTGGGAAAGAAACAGAAGTTCGAAGATGCTGTATCTTCTATCAAATCCCTTTTCCTAAAGTTCTACCCTTCTGCTTCCACCTCTCTTCGCAAAACAGTAAGCCTCTTTCTTCTCCTTCAAGTTGAGATCGATTTCGTTTCTAAATTTTAAATCATTTTAGAATTCCGGTGTTGAATTGCAGTTCTATACTGTTATTTGTCGAGTAGCGACGATTTTAAAAACGAGATACACAGCGCCTGGTTTCTGGCACGCCGGATTAGGGCTATTTGAGCAAGCAGAAGTCTTGGTTTCTGATTCATCTGAAAAGGAGCATTTGAAGAATTGTATTGCCCAAGCCAAAGAACAATTGAATCTGGCCCAAAATCCTCCTGACGTTTCCTCGAGTTCCTCTCGTGGAGGTTGAATTTCTGTAAAAAATGCATCTTTTTTATTGGAAAGTTTATGAATTTTACAATTTTTTTTCCTGATTTTGTTATTGTGCATATAATATTCAATTATAGGGTATCTTTTTGAGGGTCACCTTACCGTGGATCCTGAGCCACCAGAGCCTCTGTGGCTGTTGCAGTCAAACTTAATGCGAGCAGCCTCTATTTTGGAGGCTGAATCCGCTGGAGGTCCATCCGACCATAATAACACGACGAGAAATGCTTCCGCTATGCTAGAAGAGCTCATAAGCAACCTTGATGACATTATACCTGAGGTAGAATTCAGCTCCTCAAGTTTGTCCTTTTGAATTAAACCTTATGGTTTTAATTTTTTCCCCGAGGAAATAATAGGAATTAACTTAATTATGTAATTAATTTAACTGTTTAGTTTGAAACTTTTAGCAGTGTTCGATGTTTTCACGTTCTGTTTTTAAATCTTAATGGTGTTTGGAGTTTACATTCAGATGGATTCGTCCTTTGAATCCATATTTTTATCTGATTTAATTTAATGATGTGTGGTTAATGGAACTGATGTTTTGTTCAAGGAATTAACATTGGGCTCATTTTAATATTTCTGTCTTTAAGATTATGGTTCCAGACAATGAATCTAGAGTTCCAAAAGCGCCTCCCGCCAGTAAAGAGGTTGTTGCAAAGCTTCCAGTCATTACTCTCACGGAGGAAATCTTGGCCAGGCTTGGACAAGATGCAGAGTGTGCAATTTGTAAGGAGAATTTGGTGGTTAATGATAAGATGCAAGAGTTGCCTTGCAAGCACACATTCCATCCTCCTTGTCTAAAGCCATGGCTGGTAAGCTTCTTGATTGTGTTAACATTTGCTTTTCAGTACTGTCAAATACTTGAGCTGCATATGACAAATACTATCAAACAATGCATGTTTCTGATTGGAAGCAACCTTTGCACAGGATGAGCATAATTCTTGTCCAATTTGCCGGCATGAGCTGCAAACTGATGATCATGTATATGAGAGCTGGAAAGAGTGCGAGAAAGAGGCTGAAGAGGAGAGGAAAGGTGCCGCCAATGCTGTTCGTGGTGGCGAATTCATTTTTATTTAGATGACTGTCAGTCACTGTATTCATAGTCAATAATCTATAATTCATTACTGTATTTGTAGATGATACATTATTGAGTTCTAATGATTATTCTTTCAAACTTGATGTTATTTGAACACCTCTTTGTTGCATATATAATTCTTTCATAATGGTTGGGCACAAAAAGTTGTAGGTGTTCTTGTTGTAATTATGTGTTTAATCTGAATGGCATTTCCATGGCTTCTAAGCATCCACTGTTTAGTGACACATTTGAATTGACATCTATATTTTGCCTTTGAAAGGCTACATTGTATAGAGTTTCAGGTTAAGCCTATGGATCATCAAATTAGTGCAATTTCGTTACACCATCTGTTGCACTAAATCAGGCCATTTTGCTTGTAAGAATGAGTTAAATCAATTGCAAGTAATTATAAGTTTCTCTTTTTTTTTTTTTTTTTTTTCCCCTACAACGCATCTGTTGCACTAAATCAGGCCATTTTGCTTGTAAGAAGAGTTAAAATCAAATTGGCAAGTATTTATAAGTTTCCTTTTTTTTTTTTTTTGTTTTTGTTATTTCCCCGCTAACGGGTTACTTTGATAATGCAAAGACGTTGTTTCGAAAAAAGTCCTGGCTAATTTAAGCATCAGGAACCTCGCTAATTAATGTAGATCCTGGTAAACAATACACACAGAGAGAGTCCAAAAAAGATTCCATCCTTTTAGAATTTCTCTTTCATTTACCCACAATTTTCTGGTAAAACCAAACAGAAGATACAGGAATAATGTAGGTGAATGGCCCCAGGTTAAGTGGAGAAGGGCCGTCCTAGTACCAATATCTTATTTATACAAGAGGAACTTTTTTTTTTTTTTTTTTTCCCCCTAACGGGTTCTTTGATAATGCAAAGCAGTTGTTTCGAAAAAGTCTGGCTAATTAAGCATGGAACCGCTTTATGTAGATCCTGGTAAACAATACACACAGAGAGAGTCCAAAAGATTCCTCCTTTAGAATTTTCTTTTCATTACCCACATTTTCTGGTAAACCAAACAGAAGACAGGATTGTATGATGGCCCCAGGTTAGTGAGAAGGGCCCGTCCTAGTCCAATATCTATTTATACAAGAGGAACCCAAACTAGATTCGTGGCAAAATCATAAGCATTCGTTAATTTCCATTTATTCCACTAAAATCCACTTCTCTGATACTTTTGCTGCAATAATTAATTCCAACATCCACCGCCACGTGCAGTTCTCTCACAGTCTACAGCCAGAGCCTTCTTCTTCTTCTTCTACAAAAATCAGCGCTTGACACTAATCAGTACTCACTGTTCAAATTTCAAACACTAACATTGATTATGGAATTGGCAACCTCAGTTAGTTCAATCTCTACAAACAAGCTTCCTCTAATTAGCTCTTTCAAGTGCCGTCCAGTTCTCTCTCCATGGATTTCTACACACAGAATTAAAAAGAGTTCGTTTACGAAACTGGTTTCAAATGGGTATGTCGGTAGAAGTAGCAGTAACAGCTTTACATACAACGCTACTAACAACAATAGGAACAAGAAAATATACACTAGCATAGACTCATGTTTAGCGATTCCTCCACCTAAAGGTAAAAACACGCGTGCTATTATCAAGTTCTTGGGCGGTGCGTTCATCGGAGCTGTCCCTGAAGTCACCTATGGGTAATAATAATCTCTCCTTAATCAAACTTTTCTCTATTTGTCGTAGATTATCTTTCTTTTGATGTGATTTCTTAATTTAGTTGCCTCTCTGTGTGTGTTTTTCAGTTACCTAATAGAGTTATTGGCAAAGGAAGGGTTTCTTATCATTTTGGTGCCTTATAATGTGACATTTGATCATGCTCATGCTGCTAATCAAGTTTATGAGAGGTTTAACACTTGCTTGGATTTAATACTAACATCAGGATTGCCTGATGCCGATTTAACGGCTGCCCAGCTCGTTGGCCTTCCTATTTTTTCAGTTGGTCATAGGTTGTTCAATTCCTTTCTTTCCCACTTCAATTTTGGCAGCCACTATTTTTTCATGGTAGCTTGTGATTAGCAAAACAGTTTAGGTATTATTACTATGTATATTTTATCATATTTAAGAGTTGGTTATCTGTTGTTCCATTATGAGCTTGTGATTTGACCCATCTTTTTAAAATTAACTTAATCCGTCACTTGAGTGACAATACTTTCTTGTTTTACATGGATGTTGCAGCAATGGTGCACTTCTCCAAGTTCTTACAGGAAGTTATTTCTGTGACAATATACCAAAGGTTTGAGTTTCCCCTACTAGACTGGTTCTTGAACTGGTTATTGTCTAACAGGAAAGAAGAAATTATAGTTTTAGATAAGCAGAATGCAAATTATGAATTTTGTTTATTTTATAATAACTGGAGCAATTCGTGGATTGTGACAAAGAGTATTATCTCTTCTGTAAGGCTAATGTCATAATCTCATTCAACAACAGGCCTGCTACGGAGGCAGTTCCATATTTTGAGCAGGTAAATATCTGTTTCATATTTTTCAATATTGGATTTTGTCTTGATTATTAGGCTCTGCTGATGCATGGTGTCGTTCTTACACTTTGAATCCCATTTGTTTGATTTGTAGCTTAGCAACTTAAAATATGAAAGCATTTGATTTTCATGATGTTGAAGTTATCCTGGTCTAACAAAAATTCATTAAGATATGCTCCTTGATGCCTTTTCATAATGGACAAAAAGTAGAATTTGTCCATTGAACTGTATTGATTGCATTTGCTCACAATTTGATCACCACCACAATGTGCTTGCAAAAGCTAAGTTTCTTTGTCTAATTGATATTATGCTCTTCATGGCTTTAATTTTTGAGTGCAGTTTGGTCCACTCGTTAATCAGATGATGCCAATTGTGGAGGCATCCCCAATGTATTCAATGGCTAGGAGTGCCTCAGGTAAATCATACACTGCTTCTCACATCTTGCCTTTGGTAATGTAGTTTGAATTAAAACTTATCTAGTTTGGGTTCCTAAAATACATAATGTGATGCAGTAAAAGAACTTTAAATCAAAATGCCAATTGATTTCCTAGTCTCTGCTTGTGGAGCAAACCATTTGTGTGAATTGAGACATGATCCTGATTTTCATGATGACATATATCCAGGAGATGCATGGAGAATGCTAATTGATGCTGCTGGAGCAATAATACCAGAAAGTGAACAAGAAGCCCTTACCTCATTGACCAAATTTGTTGATCAGTTGCCCTCGGTACTGAATCAGGTATGCTGATATCTGTTTGCAGTGGTGGAGCAAACATAGATAACAGATGGTTCCAATTTTGCTGGAACAGATTTACTCTATGGACCTGTTAAACCATTTCTGTTGATTGATTGCTCCTATTTATAATATCTATGCGGGTCATCTTAGTATAATGATAAGGGCAAGGTGGCTCCTTTGTGACTGGAAGGTACAGGTAAAAGTCTTAGAGACAGGTTCTCTACAGAAAGGGAGGGGAAAGTGGCATATGATATGATGGACCATTCTTCCCTGATTCTTCTGATTCTTACATATGGACAGCTTCCTGCACTGCAGATGCCTTTTTCTTGTGAATGATTACATGTTGAAATCTTTTGGGCTCGGCACCCTTGTTTTCTGTTACAATTTTTCTTCATGTCATTACCTCATTGAATGTCCTAAAGCAGATTTGGGTCATAGGATGGTAATTTTATGGACTTCAATCAATAAATCTAAACTTAGTGTCATCTCTACTAGGTCACACAGGGGGTGTCAGAGTTCAAGCCCAAACCTTCTGAAAATCGTGATTGCTGTAGGAACTCCTACAATGTCCAACACACCCTACTGGTACATATGATATCCTTTTGTATTCCAGAATGTATACGAAGTGGATACCCTTGTTCAATAACCTTATATGTGCTGGTGTATGTGTTTGTACATTAGGTGAAGTTCAATTCTGATACAATTGATGAGACAGATCTTCTTGAAGAGACCTTGAAGCCTCGTGTTGAATCCATAGGTGGGACAATTGAAAAGGTCCAATTAAGTGGCAACCATCTCACACCATGTGTACAGGTACACCATGCATACTCTTTGTTTCTGCATAGATGGGTGCTGGAACGTGTGATGCCATTACTTCTTAGCAAAGTAATTTGGTTTTACCTGTTTGAACCTTCCAGAAACTCCATCGTGTTGGAACAACTATAATCCCTTCCCTCATGCTAAAACTACTTATTTGCTATACTTCTGTTTTAATGAGAAGATCCCATAAAAAAATTGTCTAACATAACCTAACAAATTCATATAAGAAAAGAGAAGAAATTTGCAACTTACCAGTTCCGCCTTTTGAGTTATGCACGAGGGTACAATTTTCACGTTCCTGGAGAGCTTTTCTTTATTTAATATAGCCAGTCATATTGGTATTTTTTGTACTTGTGCTTAACATATATTAGGCAAGAGATTTATTTTTCTGAAGTTTTACTGTATGTAAGAAAATGTGTGCTCAGAATTTTGGTACTGTGAATGTGTAGTATTTACACTTGTGCACACAGATATTTGTATGATTGTATCCCTCCTCCCTCATGAATGTCCTTGTAGTAACGTTTCTCTGTGTCTGATTAGGAACCGAGATGGCAAGTAGGTTATGTGTATACTCCCGCAGATGCCATTGCTCAAGTACTTAAGACTCTTGCATTGAATGAGACTAGAGCTCTCTCCAGAACCATTGTCGACTGGTTCAGACGTTTTGAAGATTAAAATGTAGGTAAATATAGTATAGCACAAAAATATGAATTCTTTCAAATGTAAATTTTGGGTCCACAAATATTTACTCATGTAAGCATAGATTCTCAGCTTCTCTTATTTATACATTGAAAAAGAAAAGTACAAATGATTAAAAGTCTAAATGATGCTCAGACATAGTTATATTTTCTTTTTGCTATGGAAAGGAAACAAATGAGTAACTGTAGAGTAAAGCAACTGGAAACTTTCAAAGAAAAATTGCGACCCGCAAAATAACATTGCAGGATTTCTCTCGTGGCAGTAAAGAAAAACAAACAAGATATATCTGTTCTCAATGTATTTATGTAAGTTCTCTGATTTAAGCAGAAGCTGCCTGCACTTTTTCAATGAGATCTGCAGCGTCTTGAACAGTGACAATGTTCTCAGCTCCCCCTTCTCCGATCGAGACCCCAAATTGTTCTTCCAAAGCCATCATTATTTCCACCTGTGATATTTCAATTGTAAGTTTTATATAAGTCTGTTCAGCTTCTAATGTGAAAATATGTAAACCATTTTTCTGCTTCCATATAATTTATTTATTTTACGTCTATATAAGTACATACTGTGTCCAGGGAGTCAGCTCCCAAGTCTGCAAACTTGGTTTCAGGAGTCACTGTGCTTTCATCGATAGACAACTGCTTAGCAATGGTGCTCTGAACTATATTCAGGGTTTCAGGTTGAGCCTAGTCAATGCAATTCCTTCTTTGTTAGCTTCACACAAAATAAATGTTTGAAATTGAAAATGGAGAAATAAAAAGAAACTGCTTACAGAGCATGAAATGGTAGTCCTGAAGCATCTATACCTAGTGGAAGAAGAAGCCTTAGTTGCCTTGGACAATTGGATTTTTGGTACATGTTTTAGCCCCAAAAATAAAGGACCTCCCTGCATTTATATGTAATTTTTCCATCAATTATTTATTAAAAAAAAAAAGAAAAAAAATATAAACTTGTTAGAAATAAGTGACACCCACATTGATGGAGAAGCTCTTTTTCTGGGCAGTGGGGGCACTGACCCTGGGGTTGCTGGGGAGGGTGCCCAATTGCAATGTAGGGGATGCAAGAAAGCTAGCCATGTAAGCAATTTAAAAGTTGTAATAAAACAGAAAAAATGAGAAAAATAGTGAATTGGATTAGAAACTTGAAAGTTTTGTTAAATGCTTGAGGTGTATATATAGGGATTTAGAAGAAATTGCTGGCCTGCATATGATAATTCCAATGCTTACTTTTTGTTTTTGGGCCTTGGAATTGGGCGGCCGCTTCTATGTTGTCTGTCAGTCAGTTTCTGCTTACATATTTGTAATTTTATTATTTAAATTTTTTCACTTAAATTTATCGAAATTTCTCGTTCACTGTGGAGCGTTTGGTTTTGAAAATTAACATCATATGCAAAGTGAAAATAGATGTCTAAAAGAGTAAATTTAAAAATGTTGAATTATCATAGTTGGATGAAAATAATTTTTTTTATGAAATTAAAACAGTTCTGTTTGGTTAAACTGTAGTGAATTATAAAAAAAGAATAAATTTTGTTACCATAAATAATAATGTAATAAAATATTTATACTAATTATTAACAAAAAAAAATATAAATAATATTCATAAAGTACTATTTAATAAAAATAACTCACTAATGCAACAGACAATGTGTATTTTTTGTTAAGGGGTAGTTGAATTGTTTCTTTTGGGTTTCATGTTATTTCGTGATGAATTAACATTTATTTATATAATCTTTTAAAATAGATATATAATACTATATAAAATTTATATTTGACTAAATATTTTTTATAATTAAAGTGTAAATGTTATATTTTATATGGAAAAAATATAAATGGACGACCTCTTTTTTTTTGAAATAAATAATTCTGTTATAAGATTTTTCTGACAATCAAACGCTCAGTGTAAAAAGAGAGAAATTGGAGAAACTTAAAATTGAAAACAAATATTTTCAAAGATAAACGAGGCGACAAAAGCCTGTGAATATGAAGAATGCTTTTGTAGGCGGCTCAAATTGCATAGGAATGGGCCAAATGGGGTGACGATCATTCCAGAACAAACACATAAATCGGTTTTTGGATAATCAATCCTTACTTGGAATAAGTTCATCTTCTCAACAAATCAAATCATCAAAAATTTAGATAAATATGGAAATTTCCCATCAATTTTAATCTCTAAAATTCAAGTTATTCAGTTCAAATTGTACAAAATATAAACTATTATTAATTAGATTGTGAAAATCAATATTCATGTGTTATCGCCAAAATAGAAAAAAACAAGAAAACGAAAAACAGATATCCAAGGAAAGAAAAAACTGATATCTGACACATACGATGCATGTCAAATAATATAGTTACACACATAAGCAAGGATAACCCAAAACCAACCTCATCTATTTCTTGATCAAATATTGACCAAGACCGGTGTTTATCCCGATTAACATCTTATCATGTTATGTATGATCTGCCGGTAAATCTGGATTTGATTTTGTGTTCGGAATAAATTATAATAGTATAATCAACTTTAAAATTATAAACTCCAGTTAAAATTAGAATAATGAAAATTTTTAATTTTTTTTAGTTAATTTTATTCTTGGAAAATATTAATATTATGATTGATTTAAAAAAGACGGTGGAAAATGTAAAAACGATCCACAATGTGACAGGCCATAGTTTTTCTTTGAATGCAAAGCATGCACAGAGCACACCCGTCTGTTGCAAAATTTGCATGCATGACACCTACAGCCACTATCATGTGCTTGCATTCAAGTCTAAAATTAAAACAATAATAATTTTATCATCTTATCACCTATCTCCTACTGTAACCCTAATAAAAGTATTTATGTATAAAACAAAAGAAATCACACTTACCCCTTATGGTTATCCAGTGGCCCTTGTTAAGGGCAAGTTAGCAGAGAGAGAGAGAGAGAGAGAGGGCGAAGGGGTGGATGTGGGGTATAGTGAGAAAGGGCAAATCCCTTTCCTTCTCTGAGATATATATGGAAGATTGGTTTTGGCTGCTTCTGATTGGTTGCAACTTGTCATTCAAAAAATCAAAAACCATAAAACAATTTATATGCAAGAGAGGAGGTCATGTCGTTTTGGTGCATAATATGTATGGTTTTGGTTTGGTTGCTACTTACTAGCTATTAACAATTCCCTTTCAAGTATTGGTTCCTCCTCCTCAAATATCGGCATTAGTGAGAGTCAATGGAGAGATAAGGGTGACTGTAATTCTTGGAGAGAAAAGGGTGGAGACTCTCAACAAAAAATCTCAGTCAAAGGACAAATATTGTGTGATAACAGTCAAGGACAATATATTGGTGTGAGTAACCGTAGTTCTACGTAACAGTTTCAAGTTCAAAATGTGTTCCGCAGAATCCTCTAAAAACTCACCATTGCAAAGATTTTTTCTGGAAAAGTCAAACTTTACAGAATCTTTTAGCAAAATTCAAGACCGCAAGCTCTAGGAGATTTGGTGGTTCTGGTTCAGTTTGAGATCGAATTTTATTTATAATTTAGTCTCTGTTTTCTGTATAAGATAGTTCTAGATACTAGCTTAAAAAAAAATCAAAGGTTTTTGTTTTTGTTTTTGTATCCACGTTCTAAGTAAATTAATAATCCATTTAAATTTTCAAGTTTTTTTTTCGCAAGGTAATCAGAGTCCTGTGTGGATACTAAGCTAAACAGTTACAGGTTTCATTCTCACTATTCTATTTATCTTACTTCTACCAGCTATCCTCATGTTGGCAACTTTATCACCCTTCGACTCACTCAACAATTTACCCTTTTGGCGTGAACAAGCATGCGGCTCTGCTGAGAGTCAGACATAGTAGGACACCTCACAAATGAAGATCCTGGCTCCAAATAGATTATACAAATACAGCTTGCAGAAAATTCAACACTTCACTAACAGAATGAATTTTTGTTAGCTGGCGAAAGACAGAATCGGCTTTCTTTCGAGGGTGGCCTATTTGGCCACTTTTGGAAGAGGACCTTGCACTTTTGTTGGACTCGACCACAGCCCATGCGTTTGGGAGGCTAAAAATTGCTTATGACAAGACTCACAGGAACGTGAATCACATTGCTGCAAAATCATTTCGTATGCTCCGAAAGAAGAAACCACAAACAATCCAAAAACAGAAACATATCCGTAATTTCAAGCTCCTGGACAAGTTTTCAAAGCCCATTGGAAAAGCCAGTTTCTGACAAAGAAAAGGTGTTCTGTCTTCTCACAAGTCTTGGTCCTCAATATGAAATATTCACAACAACCATGTTGAAGCCTCCTCTACCATCATATGCCGAGTTAGTCTCTCAGTTACAGAATCATGATCAAAGGCGCAACTTATTCTCTAATCACACAGACATGTCAGCTTCATCTCTTACTCATCATATGGCTTTTTTCGGGCAACAGCAGCAACGCCCACAACTTAATCATTCAGGCTATCGTGGATCATCCCAAAAATTCACTTCCAACGGCCGTGGGTTCCAAGCCCAACAGCGAAGAGACTTATCGGCAGCAAATTCACAACGTCGACCTCCACCCCCTGGTGAACGTCGTATGACATCTGCAGAGAGGGAACAATATCGTGACCAACAATGTCAGTACTGTGGGGTAATGGGTCATGTTGCTAAGATATGTTGGTGGGTGCCAAAGAAATCCACTCAACAAAATGAAATTCCACAAGCCCTTGCAGCACTCACTTTGGATACCTCTGTTACTGACACTGAATGGACAACTGATACAGCAGCTTCCAATCATATGACAGGTAAGGCTAATATATTAACTAACCTTCGTAAAAATTCTATTGCAGATTCAGTAATGATTGGAGATGGTTCCTTCATGCCAGAGGTTCCTTCCATGCAATTCGCAATCGGTGATGCTGTGTGAACAAAACACATCAACCGCTACCTCTCAGGATGTTTGGTTGGTTTCAAACTTAACAACAAATTTAACTTCAAGTGAGTCAGTTAACTGAACAATTCCCCTGTAATTGTGATTTACTAATGTTTGATTTTTTTTGTTAAAGCAACGGGAAACAGGACAGCCAGTGATCAAAGGGAAACGCAAGGTGATGCTCTATTCTACCTAATCACCAGAATTATATTTTTTCTCATCCGATTAAATTCAGGCACTGCAGAAAATTTGGCATCAACGCCTAGGACATCCTCATTCTTCAGGCTGATATTATTAACATTTCCCTTTCAAATATTGGTTCCTCCTCCTCAAATATCGGCATTAGTGAGAGTCAATGGAGAGATAAGAGTGATTGTAATTCTTGGAGAGAAAAGGGTGGAGACTCTCGGACAGATATAGTGTGATAATGGAGTTCTACGATAACCAGTTCAAGTTCAAAATGTGTTTCGTTAGCAAAAGTCAAGCTCTTGGTTGGTTTCTGTTTCAAGTTTAAGATTCATTCTTATCTTATCTTTAATCTCAAGTAAAGTTTTTTATTTTTGCATCCACATTCTCAGTAATAAATAAATCCATTTTTTTTTTCAGTTTTTCTACATGGTATCAAAGCCTGTGTGGATATTGTCCGCTTTGGGCCCCAGGCCTGCACGGTTTTGTTCATGGGCCAGGGAACCAGCTTCCAGCCCAAAACGGGTCTCAGTAGCTCAAGGCCTACCACACCTTATTTATATCACTTCCACATTGTGCTTAACCGATGTGGGATTTGCCTAAGGTGTCATAGTGGTGCACCATTATTCTTGTGGATATAAGCCTTCACTATAGCAGTGTATCTTATGAATCATTTACCAACATCTGCAATTAATTTTGAAACACCATATTTTGTTCTTCATGGGTCACATCCAAATTATTCTTGCCTTCGAACTTTTGGGTCTAAGTGCTTTCCCCTATACTTGGGATTTACGAAAACATAAATTTGATCCAAAAAGTCTTCCTTGCGTTTTTGTAGGCCATAATGAAAAACATAAGGCATATAAATGCTATCATCCTTCGAGCAAAAAGACATTTATCTCTCGACATGTGGTCTTTGATGAGTCAGTGTTTCCATATAAAAGTAATAACAAGTCTGTGATAAATCAGTTGCAGGTGAATACCATTTTTGATACTTGGTTATCACATACTAGCAAATCTTCTTTTACAGAGTCAATTCCAGACCCTTCCATACCTCCATGTCAAAGTCCAATATTGCCAGTTGATACCAGTACTCCACAAAATGACACACGGGGCAGTGAAGAAATGAGTATGGCCGACACTGAGTCACATAGTCCTAGTCTGTTGAGCACACCTGAAACAAATCCTTTACCAGAACCTCAAGAATCTCATGGGTTTGTTCTAGCAATAGATCCCCAAGTTGTGAGTGAGTCACCACAATCTTCCTATCATAGCCTTTCCCCAGCAAGGTCGTTCGTCCATCCCATGGTCACTCGGTCTAAATTAGGTGTAGTCAAACCAAATCCCAAGTATTTGTCACTTCAGCCAATATACCACGTGAACCCCACACCATAAAAGCTGCGTTGGCTCATCCTGGTTGGAAAGCTGCTATGGACGAGGAACTAGCAGCACTTCATAAGAATGAAACATGGACGTTAGTTCCTCGAACACCAGACATGCATGTTATTGGGTCAAAATGGGTGTTTAAATCCAAACTGAATCCAGATGGGTCATTAGATAGACTAAAAGCTCGACTTGTTGCTAAGGGGTATCATCAAATTGATGGGTTAGACTACACAGAAACTTTCTCTCCAGTTGTCAAACCAGGGACAATTCGCATGATCATTACTATACATTACTATAACTCTTGTTCAAAAATGGTCTCTTCGATAGTTAGATGTTAAAAATGCCTTCTTGCATGGGTTAGTACTTTTCTTCTTAAATATGGTTTTTTTTTTTTTTTTTTTTTTTTTTTTTTTTACATCCGTCAATAAATGTTTGCAAACTACAAAAGCCTTTTATGTCTTTAAACAAGCACCTGTGCTTGGTTTTGATCGGTATTTAGTACCTTCTCTTAAATATGGTTTCTTTTTGTAGGTTTGGGCTGATCCGTCATTATTTTGTTTTTCATTCTGTTATGGGTCCATTAATCTTTGCTCGCTTTAACGTTGATGAATGCCTTGCTTACAGGTCAAATCCCTAGCTTGTTCAAACTTCATTTATGTTGCAGGGTGGGAATGTTGCCATGAAAGGGACCTTAGGCCCGATTTCTATCATTTTTTCTCGGATAATAAGAAATAATACATAACATACAGTGGCTTCATTGTCCTCAATCAATTATGTCTTGACCATTCCTTTGAACGCTCCATAATATGTTGATTGGCAGCCCATATAGTACACCACTGAGTCTAAAACAACAGTGATGCTACGTGAATACTCTCTTAGATGATCTAAGTATTATCGAGAACTTGATCCTAGTTATTATCGAGGACTTGTTGGAGCTTTACAATATCTTACTTTAACACGGCCTGATCTTTCCTTTAGTGTTAATTATATGTCTCAATATATGCATGCACCAACATTGGGACATTTAAAAATGGTTCGGCGAATTTTACGATATGTTAAAGGAACAATTAATATGGGATTAAGTTTTACTGCCAACACTACACTTGATCTATCTGCTTTCTCTGATGCAGATTGGGCAGGTTGCACAGTGACAAGACGGTCTACTACTGGATATTGCACATTTCTTGGTCAAAATCTTATCTCCTGGTGTGCAAAGAAACAACAAACTATCTCTCGCTCAAGCACTGAGGCAGAATATCGTGCAATGGCTCACACTGCAGCTGAGCTTACATGGATGACTTTTATTCTCAAAGATCTCCACGTTGAACTACCATCTCCTCCCACACTTTATTGCGACAATCTTAGTGCTCTTCACATGACTGTAAATCCTGTCTTTCATGCACGAAGTAAACATATCGAGTTGGATTATCATTTTGTGCGTGAACGGGTTGCATGTGGGCTGCTTGTCACACAATATGTTTCCTCTGATTGTCAAGTTGCTGATATCTTTACAAAGCCAATGTCCAAATCAACTCTTCAAAGCTTCTGCAACAAACTTTGCCCTTTGCCTTAAGCCCCGACAAGTTTCGGAATATACAATTCACCATTTCAGTATGGTTCCTTGATTAGTAGTCTGCACTCTCCTCAAATATCGGCATTAAGTGAAGAGCCAATGGAGAGATAAGGGTGAAGCTGGTAATTTTGGGAGAAGAAATAGGTGGAGACTCTAACAATAAAATTCTCAGTGCAGACCTAGGGACTAAATATTGTGTGATAACGTAGTTCTAAAGTTGTGATTCTACCCGGTAAAACACAGTTCAAGTTCAAGAATGTGTCGCCCAATCCTCTAAACTCAGGCAAGCCATGCAAGTATTATTTTTTTTTCACGCTGGAAAATTTCAAACTTACATGATCTTTAAAGTCAAATTCAGTACGACAAGCCTACGGTAGGATTTTTGTGGTTTCTGTTCAAGTTTGAGATTGATTTATCTAAGATTGAAAGAAACCAACCAAATCTCCTAGAGCCTTGCTCTGAATTGTTTGCAATTGATCAATCGTAAAGTTTGATTTTCCAGAATAAATCTTGCAATGTTGAGTTTTAGAGGACTCGTGCGGAACACATTTTTGAATTACTTGACTGTTTAGGCGGGGTAGAACTGACGTATCGTATTGAACTTGAACTGGTTACCGGTAGAACTACGTTATCACACAATATTTGTCCTTTGACTGAGATTTTTTGTTGAGAGTCTCCACCCTTTTCTCTCCAAGAATTACAGTCACCCTTATCTCTCCATTGACTCTCACTAATGCCGATATTTGAGGAGGAGGAACCAATACTTGAAAGGGAATTGTTAATACTAGCTACCCACCCTCGTCAGATTCTAGAATAAAAGGAGTGTGTGCGTGTGTGTTTGTTGGTGGCAGATTGAAAAATCAATGGTCCCACCGCCACCCCCACTAATAGCGGAAAATGACCTTACACTTTGTAGAGGAAAAAGGAGTGTGAGGGGCTGCATCATCACCATCACCCATTCAATCCTATTTATTGTCTAATTTAATTTTACCATATCCTACGCTTGATCAACTGTGACTATTTATAAATAAATAAATAAATAAATTTATAATTTACCATATTGAGGAGGAAGCAGGAGCACTTTACCCTCTTCGTGAACTTGCTCCACGAATTCGGATTAATCAAGCAATAGATTTTGAACGGTATTGAAGAGTTCAACAAGAAAAAAAAAAAAAACTCTAACGCTATTGGTGGCTTGGTGTAAAACATATGAAAAGATTGTAGTTAGAAAATATGGATGTAGTTAATGAGCTGAATGATTCAATAATCGAAGATCAAAGACAAGTTGGAAATGATTTACGCGTAGAAAGGCATCAGCATTTGACCTTGTTATGGATTAACTTAACTGATATATATTAGATAAGCTTATCTGAGCAAGCAACGCAGCCTACAATTATGGACGAGGATAGGATACAAGTTTACATTTACATTTACAGAGTCTTCTTCTTGCTGGGTTCGATAGTAGAGATAGATACAGTCTGTCTCTGATCTTTAGCTACATACATAGCCTTCAGAAACAATCTAGCTTACTTAATGTATAGCTAGCTAGGGAAGAAAGCTTTTACTCTTACAACTCTTATTGCATTTGGTCCCCTCTAATTATTGTTTCCTACACCATATGTATATTATTCAGAGACTACCCATGCTTCCTTTTTTCACCTCATTTTGTTTCTATAATGTAAAGTAAATATTTTAAAACGCTTACAACGGGAAGATTTACTTATATTTAGAGGATGACTATTAATTTAATATATAAAATAATGGATAATACATAGGTATTTTCATATAAAAAAAAAAGATAATTTTCATATATATATTCATACGTAATGCTTTTCAACTTTACTTATCATGTGCATGTATATTAGCACATTGCAATCAAACATTTCTTTATTATACATTACAGATTCAATTGTTTTTAATAAAATATTTTAACAATAGAATATCAAATGAGAAGTTTTAATATTTATATGATTGAATGATGGGAAAAAATCATAAAAATATAATTCAATAAATTAAAATAAAAAAAGGTTGGAAAAAAAATATTTATTATGAATATTGATGAGACAAGTCAAATTTGGAATAATAAATTGATTATCATAGGATAGAAAAATCCATGCAATGAAAGCAAAGAAGGGCGGCTCTTCCCTTCCCACTTGGTGTAAGTTCTTCCTTTCCAGTCGCGAAACTAGACTTTCAGCCTTTATATTTAGAAAATTATTAAAATTAAAAATAAAAGTTAAAATTTTAGAAAAAATAATTAATTTTGAATTATTGTCTCAAAATCAAAATGATCCAACGCTCATTTTTCAATTGTATAGCTTCTATTATGTTTTCTATAATTCAAAAATTGAAATTAGATTTTTATATAGACTTAAATTGGTTTTATCAAATTTTATAAATTGTTCATATTTTATTATTTCATTAAAAAAAATATATATTTGACATATTTTTTTCTCAAATTAATAAAATTTTTTATTAAATTTATATTCAAATTTTACTATTCAATTACGAATAAAAAATATTTATTATAGTTAAGTAGTTGTGGCAAGAGGAGGAGAGCAATATTATGGGTAGACGGAGGAGAGAGCAGGCTTTTTCGGCGGTGGGCAGGGCAAGTGCTGCCTACTTGTTGTCCCTATCCATGGATCCCACGTGGCAGTCTTCTTTCCATTGGAGCCTTAAACCCCTGCCCATGTGGCACTACTGTCATTTGCAAATTAGCCGTTTGATCATGACCCGTCACATCATCTCCCTCTCTCTGCTTTTGCAGGCGGTCCCACTTCTATTTCCACTCACCTCCTCAATAACATTTCTCTTTTTTTATGTTTATTTTTTTTATTAAATACTAAATTACACAATAAAATTTCCTTTAATCCCCATGTGGATATTGCTAAAATCCCGTTTTAAATTGTGCTACTTACACCTTCGATCAAATGTCACGGTTATAAAAATTTCATACCAAATAAAATAATTTTATTATGAATATTTATGGTTTAATATATAAATTTATTCATATAATTTTTTATGAAAAATTTCATAAAACTCAATTTTTACTTCGATATATTGAATATCTCTAGTTATAAAATATCATTCCCAATAAAAGTTTACTATAAATATGCAATTGAATAAACAATATGGTAAACTAATTAATTTAAAGTCAATCAAGCTTTTTTTTATTTATATTAAGAGTTTGCAGTTTCAAGTTTGAGTGCTTTCAGTCACATATATTTTTACTAATTTGATGAATTTATGAATGCGCAGCTCGCAAGTAATTTCGGCCTCTCAATAAATAAAAAACTAACTAATTTAAAGATTTGTAAGTAAATTTAGGACTAAACCAAATTCCCTAATTGTTAAAAAATGAAAAATCACAGTGGAGTTATCGTAGAGTAAAATAGTAAGCTTTTTATGCAAAAGCTGAGAAAAATGTAGGATTTGTCATTTGTTGAAGACAGAGAGAAAGAGAGAAGGATTCTTAGTTCTATGAATTGCGTTAATTACTAAAAGCATTAATTATTCAAGTCAATAATAATAAATTAAAGGGGCCCAAAAATTACTGTTTCTCCTGCACAATTCTGCTGTCTTTCTCTGCACTTTGTACTGAAATTAGGTCAATTAATTAAAAATTTTCCGGTCATAATACAGTGCTCTGCCCCCCTTTTCTTTTTCATATCTGAAAAAGAATTCACAAAAGTCAATGACAATTGTCCTTAATTTTGTATGGTTTTAAATTTTTAATTATCTAATTACTGTGTAATTTTATTTTATTTTATAAAATTTAATATAATTAAAAATTTTAAAAAAAATCTATTTTCTGCATATGAATTTTTGTACTTCAAATTCATTTATATCCGGTTGAATTATGTCCTTTCATTTACACGACTAAAACGCTGCAAATAATTGGGCTAAAAACAAGAATTTTTCAATAAACAACACCAACCATAATAGTAGCAGACATGAGAGGACCTCACAGTTAAGACTGTTAAATGAGAGAAGGGGAAGAGCAGGAGGCAGAGCTCTGCAAAAGTTCTGTGAGGGGGACTGAATTTATATGTGAAGGTGGATTCATCTCATCCCCTAAATAGTGCGGGTTTTAGAGCGTTAAAGGATAAAAGGGTAAAGACATTTTCTTTTCGTTTTATATCTCTGTAATTTTGTATTGGTGGTCTTTTTGTGTGAATGGAATCCAATGGTGAAAATGGTGTATTGGCTCTTAAATTGGAAGTATTATTCATGTGGGGATTGGCTGCTTGGTGGGTTATTTTGATTCGTTGAAAGAAAATTCCCCATCTTTTAGTTTTTTTTTTTCTTCTTTTCTATTAATCTTTTTTTCCCTTGATTGATGATTCTATCTGAACGTGAAGGGGATTGGTGGAAGCTGGTTTTTTCTCATCAGATTTCAGAAGCAAATGTCATATGCATCTTTATCCACTCGCACACTATATGCAAAAGAGGCCTGTTTGCTCTTTTACTCTTTGATATATATCCATTTATTTTTATTATTATTTTATTCTACAGTTTTATCCTATTTCTGCCTGTTCAGATGTAACTAAACTTGAATGCTCTTTTCCGCCTTTGTGATTTATTTATTTTTTATTCATGTTCCCACTTGTTTTCTTAAAATTACTTCTTGTTGGGCATTTGATGATATGATCAGTGACTTAATGTTAATTAACTTCTGCCTAATGTTTTGCTGAGTTTCATTCATGAAGTTACTGTTATTAAGTAAGTAGAGCATGTGCCGGGCTTATTAGAAGCTTCCATTATGGCAAGAATTAGTCATAAACTTGGGAAGATCAAAGGAGTGAATAGTGAGGCTGCTAATTAAGGCCGTGATCATGATTCATGTTAGTGAAAGATTAGGGAATAAAGATGGTTTGGTTTATTAGACTCTATATACACTACATACATCCCGTAATTAATTATCTTAAGATTGGAAGATGAAGTCATACATTGAATTGTCCTTACTGTTCTTTATGTGAACGAACAAATAAAAATAAAAAGTGCGAGAAGAAAGCAAATGCACAGGAGAGAGGTGGAGATTTGGATTTTAAATGTGGAGTGGGAGAGATAGTAACCCAATACAAAAAGGAGAAAGTTGATTAGAGAATTAGACTAGTGTCATTAGGAATATGCTTATTGTATTTCCATATGAGCTTTTACCTTTAAAAGTAGAAGTAACATGGAAAGATAAATTTTAGTTGAAGAGGTATAGTGGAGTCATCTACATTGTCCTGGCATAGTTAATAGAAAAAACAAGTGAACGTCTGAACATGCTACCGGTGATGGCAAAGTATTAGAGAATTAGCACACATTGTCAAATCCATTGAGATTATTGTATAAATTTTGAATTGTTAAAAAGGTAAGAACTTGATTCTCGAAATTCAAGTAAACATGGAATTAAAATTTGAAATCTTGACATTGTTCTTGAGTAAGAAGTTTCGCTTTTTACCCTTAATTTTTTCACTCAATTTTAAACTTAGAATTATGTTTCAGGTTGCACATGCTAATGAGTCTAAATGGTGAGAGGAAGTGCGAAGAGTTTTTTGATGTTTGCCCTATGTTGTGCACTTATTTCTTGAAGTTTAAACATTTACTGTTGTAGGTAAACGATTTATAGCGATTAGGTTGGTTGATCCATCTGACTCTTGATTTCTGTCTTATATTATCCTTTGCTCTTGGTGGGTATATGCTATGCTAGCTGGGAAGACACTATTAATGGAAGGAAAGTAAACAACTGTTTGAAAAGTAGTTATCTTTTAAGCTAATACTGATAGATGGATGAGCCCTTGACTGTTAATGTTTTCAAAACTTTGAATGAACAATCATATGGGATTCGTGTTTAAGTTGTTTCAGTCCTATATTAAATTAGTGGGTGGATGTTCCCTTAGTTTGCTGTTCTGCCCTTCTAGGACTAAAAGACATGTTTGCTTGGATTAAATAAATATAATATGTAGCTCTGTGTCAAAATAAAAAAAAATTTAGGAGACTGCTTCTGGGGATTGTTTAATTACTATATTGTTTGGATAAAATGCAACATTTGCTCACCACAAGCACAGCAATTTATCCTTGTGAATAAACAGTGTCAGTTACAAAGTAGAATATAAAATTAGATATTAGTTTTATAAACATAACTGCCTCTCCTTCTCTATCCCCCAAACTCTAGCTGCTGTTCGGTGTTTATATTTACAGCAGTAATAAATTTCTCTAGGCTTTATTTCCACTGTTATTGCTGCCTGAAACCTCTGATAAAAACCACAGTAGCCATGCTTGTGGCCCTGCCACCTCCCAATTTGAGTGAAAATTTGTATAGTGTAGAGGGTGTAAAGAAAGGGAAATAATATGAAAGGGAAAGAAAGAAGAGATGGTATGGAGCATTTCTGTCTTTAACATGCTGTGGAATACCTTTACAAAAGGTCCAAGTTCTTTGTTTCATATGAACAGACTCAAATCATGTTTGAACAATTTGTTTTAAACAGAAAAAATTGGAATTTTCTCTCACTCTCTCTCACTCCATTTTCTCTCCTAAAGAAAGGAAATGAAAAAGAGAAGGTTACAACAGTAATGGAGATTCTTCTGTCAGTCTCCATAGGCTTTTGCTGACGTTTTTTTAGAGCCTGGTCCCATGGTATTTACAGACAAGGTACCAGAATACCCATCAACTCTTTCATCCCTAAAATGCCCTCTTGCTGTGAAGAATCAACAGTAATTCAAGAACTTAAAGTCCAAAAATTCATCCAATTACCAAAAGAACCCCACTTGCCCACATCAATTCATGAATCCATCTTTTCTATATTCCCACCTAGGAATCACTGGTTGTCACTTTACATGATGAGGACCATCCTACTTTGCCTGTTGAACTAGATTTTCTTTTTTAAATGTTGCACTGCAAAACACTTATGTTCTAACAACACAGTAGTAGGTCACCATGGTAGAGAAATCATATCTGTACACAGCAGTAAGAGTGTTTGTTTCCTAGTATAAGTTATATATAATTTTTTTCTAGTATTCAGAGATAGGAGAGAGAGAGAGAGAGAGAGAGAGAGAGAGGTGTTTGTAAATTATATTTTTTCAGAATGCTACAGCTTTCTGTACAGTGATATCTCATTTATATTTATGGTATGGTCGAGTGCTTTTCCCTTTTCCAAATACTAGTCACAATGTATTTGAGAAAATTGGTGCTTAGTCTATTGTTGAATGTGAGACTTTGCTCGAATTTTTTTTTATGTGCATATTTGCTGTCTACCAAATGGGACTATTTGGGAAGGATTGCACCAGTAATTGTAGTTGAAGTATAAGGGTACACTAGTAATAGAAACATCCTAACCGCTCATTTAAGGCGGGTGATAAAACGGTAACAATTGTAGTTTGCCAAAACAGGGAAAAATCCAAAAATATTCAAAAACCCTAGACTGTCCTCAACTAGTATTTATAACACCCATGAGCCCCTTCCGGACCAGTACACCGGATCAGCCTCTGCCTCTCCCTGCATTGTGTACTTGTGTCCCTAAGAATATAGGAGGGAAAAAAAAAAGAAGAGAAAAAACTATGATTTTCTTAGTCACCACCTTCTTTCTACATTTCTAGATTTTGAGAGAGAGACAGAAAGAGATGAGGGGTAGATCATCTAAGCAAGAAACCAAAGGAATGCAAATAGATAAACTCAATAAGTTGAAAGAAGAACCTCATCTCTCTGGTGCTTATATCCGTAGTTTAGTTAAGCAATTAACCTCTTCAAGGACCAAAGATCCCATGAATCCTAAAGACCGTGGTTCTGTTGATGATGATAGTTTTACTGGGCAAAATAGGACCAAATTTGGTGAAGGTGTAAGTGAAAATCAGCAACCCCAACTACCTCAACAACACAAGAAACAGGTTAGGAGGAGACTCCATACCAGTAGGCCTTACCAAGAAAGGCTTCTTAATATGGCTGAGGCTAGAAGGGAGATTGTTGCTGCCTTAAAGTTTCATAGGGCAGCTATGAAACAAGCCAGTGAACAACAACAACAGCAACAGCAGCAAAATCAACAGCATCAGCAGCAGCAGCAGCAACAACAACAATCATTGCCTGTTCAGCTTTCACCCCCACCATGTTTTGAACAAGAAGGAAAAATAAAATCCAGGAGGAATCCTAGAATATATCCGTCAAACACTTCCAATTTCTCTAATTATATAGATAGCCTTTCTTGCACTTCTTTCTCTCATGCACCGCCACGTACTCCAACCCCTCCTTATCCTTTTTGCTGGTCTACTCCCCCAATCCTTCCTTCAACTGTCACTGAAAATCTCAATTTCCCCCTTCCAAACCAAACCCTAGGCCTAAATCTCAATTTTCAAGATTTTAATGACTTAGATACCACCCTTTACCATAGCAGCAACAACCCATCATCAGTCTACTCATCTTCATCTACATCATCATTTTCTTCCCCTTCCCCTTCGCTTTCTATTGCCACTGAAGAAATTCCTTCGGTTGCAAAATTACAAGAAGGGAGTCCTCCTGCAGTGTCTGACCTAACTGGAGCAGGCTTGCATCAAGTAATGGATGATGAGGAGATGGCAGAGATCAGATCAATAGGAGAACAGCATCAGATGGAATGGAATGATACTATGAATTTGGTCACATCAGCTTGGTGGTTCAAGTTCTTGAAGACCATGGAAGCTGGTCCCGAGGTGAAAGCAGAGGATGATGGTTACCATCATCCATTTGATCTAGTGATGGAATTCCCTGCCTGGTTGAATGCAAATGATGGCTGTTTGCAGCAACATTTTGATGATTACTGCTCTCAAGATTATTACTATGATCCTGCCCTGCCTTGGTAAGTAAGAATCTAGTTTCAAAACTCATAATAAATGGTTTTAAGAAATCAATAAATGAGCAAATGTTTTCTGTTCCATGTTTTTGCACCCCTATAGTTGATTCCTTATTATGAAATGAATTAAGTGATTGAGTTTAGTAGTTCCATATAATTAGAGTTTGGTCTAAAATCATCAAACATATGTTTTGAATCCACTATACACTTAACAGTTTAGCCAAGAGGTTGGCTACTTCGAGGATCATCTTTGAATTTTGACATTTGACTTCTGAAAAATTTATGGCCTTTATTAATGGCTTGTGAGGAACCTTTGACCCAAGTAGGGACTTTTGGTGCCAAAAGAACCCAGGTAGTCCATGTTTGTATTTATGGGCTTTAATGTAAAGCCTTTTGCAATACTAAAATTAGCCCATGTTTTTATTTATTTATTTATTTATAGTTTCTAACTATTATTGTTTGTTTGTTAACCAATTAGTTGTTGAGTACTAGAAAGAATTTTATTTTATTCCATGCAAATACAAAAGCAGTTGCTATTGATGGGTTCACTGATTATAATTTGGTCTGGCTTTTGTAATTTTGTGATGCACAGCATGGACATTGGAGAAATTGAAGGCATGGATGGGGAATGGCTATCTTGACAAGGATTGATTGTTTTTTGTTAATCAAATCTTTGGCTCTCAAGTTGTTTTTTTTTTTTCTCCATTAATCTTTTTGAGGTAGTGTTAGAAGCTTTTTTTTTTTTATCTAAATAAGGCTTGCAAGGATGTTGAGGTTGGGAGGCCATCAGGATAGTTAATAATGTGCCTAAGGAGTATGCTTTTCTCCTTATTGAGCTTCTTAAATGGAAAAATATTGGTTATGTTAGTTAGTTTCTGTTGTTGTAGCTCATTTTTTTTAAAAAAAAATTTTCATTTCAATATTTCTGAGCTTCACATGTTTGTACAATATTTAGCAGAATTGTACTATTTCTGCTGCACTTCCTCTGCTTCCCCTTGTTGTATTGGAAGATCATGAATCCACCAATCATTGTGTCTGGAATTCCTTTATTTTATTTTCATAAGCGAATGAAAATAAGAATACACAGGATTTTTAAGAACTTGTTTTTTAGTACAAGCTATTATTATTTTGAAAATTTTTGTAAATATTGAAAAAATTTATAAATTATTGAATTTTTTTTTTTTTTTTTTTGAACTAAAACACTCATAAGATACTACGTCCAGTTTAATTTCTTTTTCTTGAAAAGAAGGGTGATGTTAATTCTCAAAAAAAAAAAAAAAAGAAGAAAAGATATTTTTAACTGTCTTTATTTTATTAGCGTTAATTTCTCATGGAAACTGTTACAGAGGAATAAGACTTAAGCTATAGAAAATTAGAAACGACAATAATATGGACTGCAGATTTCCGTCAACTTCTCATCCAGTCATCAACTTTTTTATAAAGTTTTCCGTCGCATGTGAAAACGACAGATTGTCCTCTCCGCCGCACGATAACATGGACTTTGACGACTTATCGCTTGCCAACAGCCGAAGAGCTGGCAATTAGATTATTCATTTGCAATTGAATGGGACAATCAAACAAATTCAATAAAGTGAATTACTATTTTATCTCTAAAATTTAACAAATTTTTATTTTTAAAATTCTCTTTATTTTATTTTCGTTCAATTGTATTAATTTTTTTTATTAAATTATGATACAATATCAATTTAACCCTTAATAAATTTTTCAAATTTTCTTTTATATACTATTACCAAATCAAATCCTGTGGTTTTCTTTTATCGTAAACATTACCAATCTTAATTCATAAAATAAAAACAAACTAAAAATAATAAACTATTTATAAATTTAGATTAAATTATTAGATAAATTTGGTAATAAAATTTTATTTCTTTCCCTTGAGGTCAAGATTGAAAAGGAAAAAAATTATTGGACTGACCAAAAAAAAAATCAGTAAAATATTTTATAGAAAGAATATTTAGTTGAACCGCAACAAAAAGAGAAATCATTTTATTAATTAACTTGTAAATTTCATCAAATTATGGGAACTAAATAATAATTCACTCATTCAATTATCACTTTTTCTCTCAGAAGAAAAAAAAATAGAATTTAACAATTTTGTTTAGTAATATCTGCGTAACAGTGTTACAACAGATATGATAATACATATCCAGTCAAAAAAAAAAAAATGATAATACATACAAATTGAAAAATTTAGATTAAAATAAAAAAAATGTGGGGTCCTCAACAAATTCAGAGGAGAAGGGAAAAAAAAAGAGATAAAAAAGGACTTTAGCATATTCACCAAAATTCAATTTTCATTTTTCTTTTAGCTAGGAATCAGTGAGAGTAAGATGCAGCACTGACAGATGACTTGTTGAGTCAAGATGCAGGAGCCAAGAAGAATCTCATACTTGCAATTAATAAATTTTATTTTTTTATATATAATCTGAAGGTGTAATTTTCAGATTATAAAATGTAAAAATTTTTTATTCTCCTAGCAAAATACACTTTTCAGAAATTAAATTTTTCATTCTCACTTTTATAAGAATTGAGATCGTTTACCATTCCACTCAAAATTACCGTACGATTAATAATTATAAGAATAATTACTACTTTATCAGGTTTAGTAGAAGAGAAGCATTTCTTTATTCCAAGCTGTATTAATACAAATAGAAGGCATTTCATTACAAATAAGATCTTTTTATCTCTATATTATTACTCTCGAACTACTCAAATATATAGCTTTCGTAGTCAAAAAGTTACTCTTATCATATAATTTATGAAATTAATAGATAAAATCGAAGTTTTTTATATATTATTTTACCAGACTCCAATCCTACCAAATAATTTTTTATATATTTATATTTTCTTGATAGTCTTGGCTATTGTAAGGGCTAAAAGCTTCCAAGAACCAGTTCTTCTTCCTCCAACCATTCCAACCCATCTCCTTACATATCTCATCACTGTGGTTGATACTGTAAGTAGAAATACAATGCCTTTTGTAAAATCTTGTGGTTCTCTTCATAACTTGTATTTCTTCAGCTGTTTGTTCAATCATTTTTGGAATACTAGGAAGCTTGAATTTCTCATCAGCCAATCTGGCAAGCCATTTGCACCTTAACTCTGCTGTGTGTAGATTTGACACACTCTCTATGTACCCCACAAAACCCATGTTTGGAATAAGCGGATGGATTGTGCCCCTAGCAACAAAAATTAATTAATTAATATTTCTCATTTTATCTAATTTAAAAATCCATTTAAATATTATTTATAATCCGAATGAGTAATCCGAGCACTTGCAGAGATGATCTCTATGGCTTAGGTCATGAGTTCAATCTTCCGCAATGCAAACTCTTTTTGGATCAACCAATTTGTTTCCAAAAGTGAGTGAAAATTAATCATGAATTTACAGTGGACCGTAAAATATCTTAGATTACCTGTACAGGGGCATGATACCACTGGAGTCTGTAACTAGACTGTTAAAAGGCTGAGGAAGCAAATCTTGAAGCTTCTTTTTCCCATCATAACCAGTGGCAAGAAGAACAACATCAGCCTCCAATTTGGTGTGGTCTTCAAATTCAATGCCTCCACTCCAAAAACACCAATTGGATGCCCTTTTGAACAAAATATTTCCTTTGTCTGCTTCTTGAAAGAAATCCTCAGGCAAGATTGCCATTTGACAAGATGCATAATCTTCCACAAATGGGTGGTCTGGTTTCAATCCATATTTATTTAGTGGAAGCTTCCACACCAAGTAAGACTCTATGAACTTGGAAATTGCCTTTCTCTGCCCAAGAAAGAAAACATCTAAATGAATAAGTAAATAAAGATATATAGATTTTAATTAACAATACTTAAAGTTCTAATCTTACTCGCGCTACATCAGATTCATAGAAGGAAAGTGTAAGGATTTTCTTCATTCAAAAGAATCGGATATTCAATCTCTTACTTAAAAGATTTGAATTCTTTTTATTTAGACCATCTCCATCGATATATAAAATTTTTATCTTTAACCTATTAGTAATAGGTTCTGTTTATGTATCTGATATATCGTAAATTATGATAAGTAAAGATGTACGTGTGTGTATATACCATTGGTGACAAAAGAAGGCAGAGCAGGGTCTTGAAGAAGCTTTGATTTGGCCTTTCATGGAGAAACTGAGAAGATCTTGTTGAAAAAAACAAGGCAAACGGCAAACCCCATATCCAATATGATGGAACAGTCCAATGTAAAGTCCTTATCACCATTGTGCACGGTTGCCCTTCTGCTCCTTCAATAGTTCAATTACCCAATTTCCAATAAGAAAACCAAACATGTCAATGTATATAATAAAAGATTAACCCATTTTCGATAGCAAATTCTAGACTAGAAAACAATATAGAGCCAAAGAAACCGACCGAGACGACCAATCTCTGGTGGTATGCAATTTCTGCTAAAAGACAAATTATTTTCACCCAATTAAGTAATTTGTTGAATATATACAAAATAATTAGATATGTATAATAAAAAAGCCATTGACTTCAGTTCCTACAATAATTATTTTTCCAAATTCCTTCTAGAGATTTATTTTCCTACTCCTGCACCTTTCAATGAAATTTCATGCATGTTCTTTTTCACTTAATTTTCACCATTGGAATATTATAAAATTATCCATAAAAAAAATCAAATTTCCAAAGCCATTTGGACTAGTATAGGATCTAGAGTAATCGTTTGAAATTAGGGATAAACAATAATTAAATAAAAAATTAATTTTTAGATAAAAAATTTTACAAGATTGCTAATTGCTATTATCCATTTTTAGTTTTTTAGACATTATATTACAAATCCTTGGTCAACCAAATGTTTAGGATGCATTCTTGTAATTGATTTGTGTATTGAATTTTTTTTCTTTTTTTTTTATTTGATGGCATGGAGAGGAGAATTCATCTTCTACATGTACTGAATCTAATATTTTTTTTTTTTTTCGAAAAAAAAATTTTAATACCTCTATTTTTTAAAAATGTCTATCAATATAATATAATTCTTAAATCTCTTATATTCTGATGGACATACTTAAACAATCAAATAAATTAAAGCATTAAACAACAAAATTTAGGACGATAGTCGACATGTATTTTAATATATGCAATATGTGATATTTAATATAGTGAAAACGAGCATGTGCGGAAGTCAACTTCCAGACACTAAGAGCTATTTGACTGCTGTGTCCAAACAAAGACTTTCAGAAATCATGCAAACTCTTGCAGGAACGTCCTATTTTCCATCATCATGTGTGTTTCTCAACCTATAACCTGTGGAAGTAAAATGAAGCACTATACACACACACACACACACACACACACACACACACACACACACGTGCGCGCTCTATCACTAAGGTAAAATCCTTTCAATAATGGGGATTTCAAGTTCTTATCATATATATTTTTGAGAGTATGTATTGTATTACTCACCTTGGTTCGCTTTGGCGCACTCCACAGCTAAATCAATGGCAGATTTCTTATAGCCAACAATGGCAACTTTCTTTCCTTGGAGTAGTTCTCTAGCACCATCTTCATCTAGTTTACAGTAATCCATAGTATGCAACACCTTTCCCCTAAATGCATTTTCACCCTTATTTGCCGGAAAAACTGGCATTCTTGCTACATCTCCATATTTCCCAATGCATATAACAAGAAACTCAATTGCATACCACTGCACAAATAATTATCATTAGATCAACATTAGTGCCATTAGAAATCAAGAAATAAAAATTAAATAAAGAGCGTTCCAGTGCATGAAACTTCTGTCGGTACGATCAAAATAGAATATTGTTGCACCAAAACTAACCTGCACGTTTTGGGATTGATTTGTCTCAACAGCGACCTCCCAAACAGGATGGCCCTTCAAAAGAGTACCATAGTCCCCTGATTGGGAAGTATCCCGATCACGACCACCGATGTAGCGGATGGCTACTACCTTGGAATTGAAATTGACATATTTCAATACATCAAAATGTGTAGCATAGCTATGTAAATATTCCAGGATTTCTTGATATGTAGGGAAAGTGGAGTTATCCCTTTGAGGCCAAGGAAAATCCGAGAACTCGAAATCGCATCGCGGGGTTTGGAGTGTAGTGGAAGTAAAAGAACAGTGTTTCCAAACACCTCCAATTGAGTCTGTGGCTTCAAACACCAAAGGATTGTAATGGGCGAGTTGTTTAGCGGCGGCGATGCCGCTAATACCAGCGCCAATTATCCCTACTTTGTGAGTTTGAAGCTGGTTTTGCTCATGGCTGGCCATTTTGGCAATTTGATGATGCTGATGATAAATTAGTAGCTAGCTAGCTAGCTTAATTTTTTGTACTACTGATGTGCAGGAACTATAAGGTTTGTGACCCTATTTATAGTTGTTGAGGGGGTGACCAACTACCATTTATTTTTCATCACATGACATTATTAATTTAAGGGAATTGTTAATTGTTAGGTTGAATAGTAGTACAACTTTTTATTCATTTATTTATTTATTTTTTCTTTTTTTTTAAACAACCATTTCAAATGAATTTAAAAGCATATATATATTTAGTTATCGGATCATTCCACATGCTAAATCAATCAATGAAAATTTTTTTTGTCAAATTTATTACTATTTTATCCTTTTTTTTCCCCGATGGATGAGTAGAAAGATACTCATATTTTTTTATTAATTTGAATTATATATGGGGAGTAAAACTAATTTCATAATTTAATTATAATTATAAATTAAAAGGCTGAAATTTCTAATTTTTAGTATTTCATCCTTGGATCATTATCATCAACTGTTAATAATTAAAAAAAAAATTAGGAGACAAGAAATTATAATTTATAGAGATTAGTTAGTAAAAGTAATAATAGGACCAGTTTGAACTCCATGCATGCGTTCCCATGGATTTCTTTTCCTTTGACTCTACATTTTTATAATAATGTTTGGCCTTTCTCCTATAAATTAATGTAAGGAAAAGGTCAAGTCAACCCATAATTAATTTCTGATTTGATTGCACTGTGGATGATGTTAATTGTTATTATAATCATTGACTAATCTTAATTAATTATAAAATATGAATACATCCGACGGTTGATATTTGTACTCAATAATAACATCGAGCTAGCAATGGTTAGGATCCATTTTTGTTTTCTTCTATCTAGAACACATAACCTGTCTTTACCACGGGCCATTGTTTGTTATAACCATCTTTTAGACAAAAAAAAAAAAAAAAGAAAGTTTTGTAAGGAAAAGGTCAAGTCAAAACCCATTAATTAATTTGCTGATTTGATTGCACTGTGGATGATCGTTAAGTGTGTTATCCATAAATCATTTGACTAATTCCTTAATTAATTTTTATTAAAAATTATGAATACATCCGACGGTTATATTTGCTACTCAATAATAACATCGGCAGCTTAGCAATGTGGTTAGGAATCGCATCTTTTTTTGTTGTTCTCTCTAATCTAGCAACGACGATTAACCTGTCTCTTACCACGGGCCATTGTTTATAACATCTTTTTAGAACAAAAAAAAAAAAAAAAAGGAAAGTTACTATACCATATCAGCTGCCATCCATTATTGTTCATTTCTTCCTCCTTAATGGAAAACCTTTATTTGTAATAAGATTTTTTTTTATTTTTGATACATATTCCCAACAAACTCAGGCCCCACCCCCCCCCCCGAAAAACCAATTCTTTAAGAGGAATCATATTACAGTGTGTAGATAGAGTTATTGTTCTTATAATATTAAGGATAATTTATCCTAGACATGAAATGTACTTTTTTTTAAATTTTTAAGAAGAAAGACAAATAATTTAATTAAATTTATTTGGAATAACATGTTTATACTCATAGTAAAAAATGTGGGAGGATTGCTCTCAGCCGCACCATTTTCTTAAAAGCTAAATCCCCCATTGTTATATGACTGCTTGTTGTCTCTCATTTGTATTAAAAGAAACTTCCTAGAAATAGAGCAATTTTGGAACATGGTATTAACTTTATTATGCTATGCTTGTGATGAAATTTCTCTGTGTGTTCAATTTATTCTTAGATGTGAGTGAAACGCTAATGGAATTTTGATTCTAAAATGAGTGTGATATAAAAAAATGATAACAAGGATTAACATGCGCTCTCACATAAGATAAGAGGCTCTCCGACATCATAGGATCAATTTCTAAGGACCGCAAAAGCTACGCATAATTATAATTCCTGTAAAGCTTTGCATCAATTTTACGCTTCGGATGAGCCAACATTCGGTTACCGGTTGCGCTCCATTTCGATTAACAAAATATTGAACTTCCACAACACGACTTCATTTTAATTCTAGTCTAACGTTCCAGAATCTCATATTAAAAAGAACAAGCACTGACTTTCACTGTCGAATATGTTTGTGCTATCTGTGTCTGTGTTTACATTTTATAAACTTAATGTGTGCCTTCGCAGCAAGAAAGCGAACTGGATTGCCATATGTAGTCGATCAGTCCGCGAATCCACTTTGTATCAGTCTATTCTCTCTTATTTTTTTGTGTTGAATTAAAAAAAAAAAAAAAAAGAAAGTTTATATACATATCAAATCCATTATTGTCATTTCTTCCTTTAATGGAAACTTTATTGTAATAAGATTTTTTTTTTTTGATAATATCCCAAAAAGAAACAATTTTAAAGAATCATATACAGTGTGTAGATAAGTTATTTTCTTATAATATAAGATATTTATCTAGACATGAATGTGATTTTTTAATTTTAAGATGAAAACAAATAATTAATAAATTTATTTGAATAATTTATATATATTAAAGGGAAGATGCAGCCGCCTCTTAAGAATCCCCATTGTATAACCTTTACTATTTGTATTAAAAGAAGACTTCCTAGAAAAGAGCAATTTGAAATTGGAAATTATTATGCATATGCATGAATCTCTTTCTTTATCTAGAGAGTGACTATGAATTTTGATTTAAAAGGAAAAAATGAAACAAGAAACATCCAAGAAGGAAAAATATTGAACTTCCACACACACTTCATTTGAATTTAGTCTAATTCATATAAAAAGAACAAGCACTGCATGTCTGCATCTGTACCAGGTGGCTGTGTTCTTTTATTAATTTCCGCAGCAAGAAAGCGAACTGGATTGATATGTAGTGATCAGTCGCGAATCCACTTGTAAGTTATTTTCTTTTTTTTGTTGAATTTTCATAATTAAGAATCTAAAATTTAATATAAAAGCACATTATAGATAGTTTTTTCAAAAAAAAAAAAAAAAATTGCATAGACCAGTGATTGTAATATTGCATTCACAGCTTGTTGTTTCCACAGTCACCAAGTGAAGAAGTTACGTGGATGGTATATGCATGGAAATATATGACAGTCAGTGCGTTCTGCCTAAACTGTCTTTTGTCTTTTTTCTCTTTTCTATGGCTTCAATTACCATACTTTGCTTCAGCATTAAATTTTCTAAACCCCCTCAGTTACTTTTTACACCACCAATTACGGACCCTCCATTCGTAAATAATCAAAGGAAAATATATATATATATATTCAAAATATTTCTAAAAATCAATTAACAAAAATTGTTTTCCTAATCAAATAGAAAATAAATCATTTGTAGGAAAATATAACTTTCGGAAAAACTTTATTTGCATATTTAAAATTTATTATTACCCTCTAAATAAACATTTATTATATATTAATCATTGATTGGCGTCTAATTAATTAAAAAAATTGACCTTAATCTTGATATTTATCTGGATAATGCTCTTTGACAAGATTAATTAGGTTGTTCAATTTCAAATTGCTCACGATTAAAAAAATATAGAAGGGTAGAGATTACACCTCCTAATTATATAGATAAAAGAGAGGGAGGAGAAATAAAAATTTAAAAATAAAAAAAAGGAAAATAAAAAATTGACCAAAATAAATTTCAATCATTTATTTTTTATAGATAAATTCAGTTTATATATGTAGTCCATGATATTGACCATGGAAGACTAAACGAAGAAATTGCAAATAAGAATATTATTATTATTATGTCATTATCATCCGAAACTGTTGAGAAAGTGATGACTAAAAGAAGAAAATTTTTTATTACTACTCAAATATTATTAATTCGGTATTATTAAAATATTATTAATTTTTTTGTTAACTAGATGCTCAATAACTAAAATTATTAATTATATAATGCAAAATTCACGGTTTAACTAATTCTGATAATGGATTTGTTTTCTATTTTAGTATCAAAATTTCAATATTTTAGATCAAATCACAAGTGAGAATTTTTTTTCTTTTTTGTCATTTGTTAATTCTTTATAATCAATATAAATTATATGTTTTTGATTTGAATCAGTAAAATAAATTTAATGGTCGTTTGAATTAATGGACTATGTATAGAATGTAATATAAATAGCATAATCAATAAAATCTTCCATTCTATTATTTGCTTAAAATAAAATCTAATGAATTTAGTATTTTTAGAAAGAAATTAAGTAGTTTAAATTACATAAATAATAATAAAATCACATCTTTATAGGATTTGTATTTCTTTTTAAAATAATGAAAAAATCGAGATTAAGATGGATTTCAATAATTATAAGGATTTTGATATATTTGTTTCAATGAAATGAATGAATCCCTCAAATTTTATCAATTCAAACCATGATAATACATTCTTATTAAATTCAAAAATTTTTAAAAAAAATTATAAAAAATGCGAATGTGAAGATTCCCAACTCATCTGATAAGAGCGGGTTGTGGTATGATTATTTTTTTTTTTTTTCCCAAAAGCATATTAAAAAGCAATTTTGCGTATCATATAAAATGTAAATAAAAAAAAAATACTAACAATCTCGTCAAACTTGAATACTTGATCCCTAATCCGAATCCGTCCAAAAGTGTGTATGGGTCACAAGCCCTTCCGATTGGGACAACTGATTCCTTGTCTAATCAATTAGTCTGTCTAACAGTGGATTACCCATTGAAAGACATCAAAAGGAAGCAGAAACAACTGTCTTTGTATGAATTTTAAGGTCACTAGACGGAAATCAGAGAGGGTAGCCCTAATTTCAATTCCTCTTATCAGAAAACCAGTGCTAGAACCAAAATGGAAATGAAATCAATCAGATCAAAACACAAAATGGAAATGAAATCAATCAGATCAAAACACAGAAAACCGGTTTCAGTTCCCATTGGAGCCTAATGACCTAAGTAAAAAAATAAATGATATTTTGAATTTTTAGGTATAAATAAAATATTTGAGCCTTTTTTTTTTTTTTTAAGTCCAAGCATGTGAGTATTGTGTATTTGAAGTATTTATAAATTTTTTGTGTGCTTCATGTATTTAACACTTAGGCTCTAAAATTCAAATCTAAAGCTTCAACTATAAATTTGACAAATTAACTAACTAGTAATGTTATTACATTCTTCTTAAAAGAAGAATCTATATGTTAAACCCATAATATCAATTTACCTGGAACTATTTCCAGATGTTCTAATTTCATTTCAAAGATGGTAAATGAAAAATAAAAACAGAAGCAGCACAAACAATCCCAGTTTCCATATTCAATTTGATACCCATATACCTAAAATCCTAGCCCGTCAATCAATCAGATCAAAACACAAAATGGAAATGAAATCAATCAGATCAAAACACAGAAAACCGGTTTCAGTTCCCATTGGAGCCTAATGACCTAAGTAAAAAAATAAATGATATTTTGAATTTTTAGGTATAAATAAAATATTTGAGCCTTTTTTTTTTTTTTTAAGTCCAAGCATGTGAGTATTGTGTATTTGAAGTATTTATAAATTTTTTGTGTGCTTCATGTATTTAACACTTAGGCTCTAAAATTCAAATCTAAAGCTTCAACTATAAATTTGACAAATTAACTAACTAGTAATGTTATTACATTCTTCTTAAAAGAAGAATCTATATGTTAAACCCATAATATCAATTTACCTGGAACTATTTCCAGATGTTCTAATTTCATTTCAAAGATGGTAAATGAAAAATAAAAACAGAAGCAGCACAAACAATCCCAGTTTCCATATTCAATTTGATACCCATATACCTAAAATCCTAGCCCGTCAAAGCACTATTCACAGGATATCTGTCGATGCAATCAAACCACGGATTGGTGCTAGCCTTTTTGACACGTCTCATAGACTTCCAAACCAGGCTATTGCACTTGAACCCAGACCCAAACGCAATTTGCCAAACCCTGTCTCCTCTTTTCACTCTCTCCTTAGCTTCCACATAAGCCAATTCATACCATATACTGCTACTAGAAGTATTGCCAAACCTATGCAGTGTCATTCTTGATGCCTCCATGTTCTTGTCACTCAGTTCAAGGTTTCTTTGTATCTCATCTAACACAGTCTTGCTCGCTGCATGGACACAGAAGTGCTCAAATGCAAGCTTGTAATCAGGAATGTAGGGTTTTGATGATGATGGAGAGGGTGAAGCTCCATTCGTGTTGTTCTTGTTCTTGTTCCCAAATAAGTGGCTCCAAACTAAGGTGGCAAAGAAGAGAAGCTGTTCTGAGAAAGGCAACACTAGAGGTCCTAGTGTGGTTATGTTGGTTTTGAGTGCTTCTCCTCCTATTTCAATGAGGTCTTTGCTCACTTTGAGTCCCTTGAATTTTTGTCCATCTTCTTCTTGGTAAATGCACCTGATCATTCATATAACCATCAACAATTTCAGAAATTTAAAACTAATGAAATCAAACAATCAGAAATTGTCTAAAACTAGCAAACCTGAAACTACGATCATCAGCTCCTTTGTGTGTCCGAACGATGTGTTCAAGGCGGTACTTAGCACGGCGGTAGTCTCGCCGGCGATTTGACAATAACACGGCAGAGCAACCCATCCTGAAAAAGCAATTAGAAATCATCATGGACCGTTCCCGGCCTTGATACCAGTTATATCCCACCATTTCAGTGCTAACTACAACAGCATAGTTATTGGGATTGGCTTGCAACATGTCGCGGGCCAAGTCCACAGCTATAATTCCTGCACTGCAACCCATACCACCGAGATTATAGCTCAAAATGTTTCCTCTCATTTTGTAGTGATTAATCACCATAGCAGAAAGTGATGGGGTTGGGTTAAAAATACTACAATTCACTACTAGGACTCCTATGTCCTTTGGACGGACCCTTGTCTTCTCAAATAGCTCATCAAGTGCACCAAACATTACTGTTGATGCCTCAAAACGACCTTCTTTCATTGTCGCACAATTCTCTTGTGACATTACCGCTTTAGGAATGTAGGTTTCATCTCCTATTCCTGATGACTGTAGAATTCTCTTCTGAAACTGTAGAGTTGCTTCATCGTATTTCCCCGTCATTCTTGCCATCTCCATCAATTCATCTTTGCTCACCTGCATGCATAATCAAAATGTTTAATTTCCAATTTTCAAACAAATGATTCATACTGCGGATTCAAACTAGTTTGGAACTAAGAATTGGTTGTTGTTGCTGTAATCTAAATTTTCACAATACATTGGATTGAAAGTCTAAATTTTTACAGTACCAATCTTAGATTAAAGGACCACATGTATTTTCAATAAAAAACAAAAAGAAAAAAAATTATCATTTATGTCATCATGTGATCCTTCTGGTACATCGCATCTTTCACGTGAGCAAAAACCACCAATTTGTACCAACAAATTAATAGGTGCAAAAGCTGATATTAATTAATAAAATGAAAAGAAGCAAGATAATTAAACTTCTACGACAACTATTTCTTTCACCTTCAAACCTTAGACAAGCACTAGATTGTCATACTACAAATCTTAAATACAAGAAATCAAGAAATTACCTTGAGATCATCATTTGGGCGATAACAAGAAAAATCTACCAGATAAATAGACCTTGGCTTGGACATGAAATAAGCAGAAACAGTGAAGACAAAAACTCCAAAGAAAGAAAGAACAGTGACAAGATCATAACGAGCATCTTCCCAAAGCTTCTTCCACAGTTCTTCCCTACTAAGACTCCCAACCTCAGCACTAAAAACAAGCACCAAAACAGGTATAGTAGCCAAGTAAATGGCATGGTTGATAAGATAATGGTAACCCAACATCACATACTTTAGGTTAACAGATTGGAGAAAATCAGGTAATCTTCTCCTAACCCTAACAGAAAATGTCAAAGAGCCAGCATTCGGTCCTGTGGACTCAATTCCACGGTTAACAATCTCTGTAGACAAGAGATCTCTTTCATTAGCCATGTTCAGAGATTTGCTTCAATATTGATAAGAACTGGGTTTATGTGTATGTGTATATATATAAGCAAATATATTTATTTATGCTTTCTAGGTGGGAGTGTAGAGAGGGAAGTTAATGCAGGCACCAAGCTGAGCTGTAGTGTAGTTGAAGTGTCTTAAATTCTCCATTCAATGAAAGTAAAGGGTCATTTTTCAAAGTTCAAAAATGGTTGATTTTTCTTTCTTATCATAGTTTCTGAGTCAAATCTGCAATGCACTATGCCTAAAAGTAGTTAAGGGTCTTATACACTATTTACAAGCTAATCATTTCTTGATTCAGGAGAATTAATCATTCTTGATTGATTACTATAATTTAAAAAAATTAATTATTTTCTTAATCTCTATATAAAAATTTTAAACGAATACGCAAGTGTTATACCACAACCAATATGAGATTCTAAGAAAAATAAATTAGAAATATACAAACCAAAGCATCGAGAAAGTTAAGACTTTCTCTTTGATAGAAGTTGTACTTTTCCAATTTTTACAGAATTTTGGATTTTTTAAAGTCTTCTTAACTCTTTTAATTAATTAATTAATACCCACATATTCTTCTAATTCCGACTGAATTACTTTAATAATACTATACCACTTCAATGAATTGCGTTGATTGAAGTTTATTTTTCAAAAATCAACGCTAGCTTATTTTAATTTTATTATAATTTTCAATAATGAAATTTCGCTTTGCTCTAAGCACGGGATTACCCTAAACTGGTAATTTCACAGACAAGTTCTGCATCAGTATTTCATTCCATTTGTGTATAAAGTACGAGTAGTTAAGGGTCTATTTAGGCTTGGAGCCCACCACCTGGCAGGCTTAATTGTGGTTCATATCAATCTAGTAGCTATATTAAAAAAAACCCAAACAAGTTTTAAAATGAAAATGAAAAAAAAAAAAAAAAAAAAAAAACAAGTTTTAAAATGAAAATGAAAAAAAAAAAAAAAAAAAAAATAATAATAAATTGGACTATCTTACCTGATTGACTGGTTTGTTTCTATATAAATTAAACTTTGCAGGAAAATAATTTTTTTCTATCAATATTTTATTATTCGGAATGTTACAAAAAAATAATTTTTCTGACATTGCAATATCTTTTAATTTAATAATATAAAGAAGAAGAGACTATGGGAAATTAATATTATATTTATATTAATTAATAGAAACTGTTGGCATTGGGGATATGAAAAAAAAAAAAAAAAAAAAAAAAGATAAATTGGACTATCTTTACCTGTTGAGCTGGTTTGTTTCTATAAATTAACTTGCAGGAAAAATATTTTTTTTATAATTTTTTATTATTCGGAATGTTACAAAAAAATATTTTCTGGACATGCATATCTTTTAATTTAATTTATAAAGAAGAAGAAGACTTGGGAAATTATATATATTTATTTATTAATGAACTGTTGGCATTGGGGTTGGGTCCCATGACCATTTATAAAAAAAGAACTCACAACTTCTGCCTACAGCTATAATTACTTGCTTCAACTTTTCAAGAATATGCACTAACATCATTTATGGCTCTACCTGGCTTTACCTGAAAAAGAAACCAAATTGAACCTGCCATCATAACTTCGATCTGCTATATTCACAAATATCTCTATACATTCTTCGCTGGATTGCTCTGTACTCTGTCAATGGAGGAACACTTCGAGCTTATGTCTAAAGCAGATTACACAAGTCAACAACATTAACCATACGTAATGGTTTTCTGTAGCTGCCTATTATAAACAAGTTTGAAAAAAATGATTAAGCACAAACTATTGAAATAGTGCATAGAATATTTATATGAAGACAACTGATTAGTTTTGTCTCTATGTAAGTAGCTTCCTGATCGAGTCTGATTGTAAGTGAAACGAAAATTCATATTCTGTCAAGAGCTTTACGTGTAAAATGCAAACTACTTGAACAAGATTTGTTTATATGTGGAACGGCAAATTCATATTTTGTTGTTTTCAAAGCCTGGTTATCAGAAACTCTGTTTTTGGACTTTTGGTTAATGATGACAATAAAATAAAGTCAGTGTGTGGACCAAGAAGCTAGTTAATCTTTGCAATGGGGTAATGGGTACGAAGTGGGGGATTGTTAAACCACTGTAAGAGTTTCATTTAGTTTCAAATTAACATACTTACAAACTGACAAGATAAAGCCTCAAAATCCTACATAAAATAAAAGCATCTAAACATTGAACAGTAGTAAAACCTAGTACCATAAACCATCACAATCTAGTAAGGTTTAGTGGGGCTCTTCTTAAATAGAGAAAGCTGTGAGAGTTTGAAAGGGTCTTTCTGAGAGATTTTGAGGTGAGGATGTACAGCAGAATTTAATAGGAGTGTCAAGCTCCGCTTAAGATAGTAGAACTCAACATTGGTCCAATTGCAGGTTTGGCCATCAGTTGTCAAGAATCAAGGATAATGAATCAGAGCCTGTCAAACCAAAGCATAACTTTATAAAGAAAACCAGGATGTAGATTAAAAGGGAAAAAAAACTCAAAAGTCAATATTGACAACATGTATTGACTTATTGACAAAAAATTTAGCCGGGTGCATTTATATTAGTCTATCAACTTGACTTGAAATGGCATAAAGGATAGGAATCTAGTGATAGTGGTTCAAATTATAGTAATACAGTCTGTTACATAAGTCTAGTGGTTGAAAGTTGAAACATTTAAGACCACTTGCACTAGTTTCTCAACCAAAAGTTCTGTAACCTGTCTATCACAAACAAACCCAAGTATGATCTTTCAGCATCAAACTCTCACCAAAGCAATGAATGTGCAACTTCAAAGCACGTATAGTTGTATTGATGTATATGTATCAAATATCAACAGCTAGAATGGACTGAGCCCAAATGGATACAATGAGTTAAAAATTGAACTCAAGCTTAGCCCAAAGGTAGAACTGGAATGCTGTAGAGATATGAAATTGAATGTAAGAATCAGAGAAGTGAGGGAAAGAAAAACATAAGTGCCACAATATGAATTAAAAAAGATATGTGAATAACAACACATGGCCCCAGTTTTAGTAGTATACCTGGAGACTACGAGGCTCGATTAAGTCAGAAATTACGGATGTTTCCTTTCTTTTTTTTTTCTGTCAAAATTTCATGACCTAAACTCATGGAACTTCATGACAGGTTGACAACTTTGACTCCAAAATCCTTCTACTGAAGAGGATAGCAAACACATGGTATCACAGATAGCTATGACAGATAGCAAACACATGGTATCACAGATAGCTATGACAGTTAGCAAACACATGAAACTTAAATATGAGTTTTAGTTTTCAAGAGCCAAGGCAGGGAATTTTTCTAGGAAAAAACAATGCAAAAGATAATGCCGATTACACCAGCTTGTTTATATGATTTTTCTTTTCTTTTTAAGGCCAAAAATACCATGTCCTATGATTTATGCTCTGAGCATTAAGAAATTTACCCTCTTATCCAATTGTTGACCTTTGTTACTCTCTTCCATTGTAGGATGAGGAAAAAATACAAGTTGAATTTCAAACAAGATTTGCACCATGCGCGGCAGAATTTCATAAGCTAGCACATCAAATTAAGAAATACAAGAAGTATTCTAAACCCTTGTTTTCTGTTAGTAAGTCTTTGCTCTTCAGCCATCCAGTGGTAAGACTATTCAAAAAGCCAATTGCCTCTTAATTCTCTTTATATATATCACATAATATGCCCGTTATATCTTTCTAAAGTATAAGTAAACATTTCCACTATGATCAGCAAACAATGATACAGTTTATGGATCAGTAGACATATCTGTTCCATGGCCGTGGCCCATGAGCACAAACGCAATGGAATTCACCTATTAAAATAACGGGATAAAGCTCATGAAGCTCCATCAACAAGAATATATATTAGCAAAATAGAAATCAAGCTACAAAAGATAAAGTTTATGACCTCAAGATTTATCCCTATCCTTTTACGCTTTGCCAACCTCTCCAACCTCCATCTCAGTATTGTCTACAAGTAAAGCATCCTCTAAATCGCCCATTGTCTCCTCATGCTCAAATTGCATGCTTATGCTTTCATTCTCAGAATTGTTTTCAATCAAATTACTATCCTCCAAGTCTGATAAATCACTGAAAGTTTCAATCTTCTTCTTCTTTCCTCTGTAACCAACAAGGCTCAGGAGTTTTTCCTTCCAAATGACCAAAGTGCCTTTCTCAATCAGCTCTTGGCCTTCGTAAGCTTCAGTAAGGAACACACTAAACCTCTTCCCCCTCTCAGAAACATAAAAAATCCCAAAATGCTTCAGAAGAAGTCTCATCAATTTTTGCGGCATCACAAACTCCCGTCTGAAGTGGGTAAGGTGATCAGTAACCAATCTCTTCTCAATAGTAAAACTAAGCAATTCGTGCATTACAGCAACAGCCCTTTTATCAAATTCTAGTGACCCAGCAATGAGTCCCCTAGCATCTGCATATGGTGACAAATAATGTCTTTTCTGGAAGTGCTCAATTTTCCCTCCATATCTATACACTTTCTTGTAATTAGGTGGAAACTTCAAAGGAAATGACAATGAAAGCAATCCTGGTTCGTGCCCACTTGCTTCAGTTATCCCTAATACCTCCTTCTCTAATTCTGTGATAGCCCAATCAGGATTCCAAGCTACAAGTTCCAAATACTCCACTCCATCCCCAGAATTAACGACCTTAAATAGTTTAGGATAGTTATGCACCCATTTGATCCTAAAATCCAAAGGCAAACCGAAATCCCTCCTAAAATGTGCAATCTTTTCCACCTGAAGTCTTTTATCAGCTGACATCATCAAACACCTAGTAACATACTCTGCAGCTTTATCTGAATTTTCCTCAATTAACCTTTCTTGTTCTTCCACTAAATCCTCAGCTGCTTTTGTCATCCCACACCATAAACTCCCCCTTTGATCTTTATACAATTCAAAAAGCTTCGGAGATTTACGAAGAAAATCAGATATTTTATGGGGTTTAGGTAGATTAATTTTGGTTCTGTGCTGTTCAAGATCTCTTACACGGATTACCATTTCTTGCTCCATCTTCAAGACTTCCATAACTGCTAGCACTTTCGAAGCTATTTTCCATTTCTCTGTGACTATTTCAAGATCGTGCACTCTCTTTTTGCTGCTTCTATCTTGAACACGCTTACTTGTTGTCATGAATCTTCCCTGCAACCAAAAGAATACAGATTCTCCAAGCCAGTTACTTCTCATAGGCAAATACACAAACACATTAGCTTCGTTCCATTTATTCAACACAAATCCAGTTTTAACGATATGGTTGGCCATTCTATAATTATGTCAAAACCAGAAACAAGTATTAGTCGACGAATGAGGTGGTTGGTCAGTATATTTGAGCTGCTATTGAACGACGAATAGATCGGCCGCGGTGAAGAAATGCGGACGACGAGTAACGGGGATGGATGGGGACAAAATTTAAAAGAAAAGAAACACGTTCGCCTTCGTGAAGAACATACAGAATAAGAAAAAATAATATTGGGCTCAGCACATTGGGCCAACTAAGTTCAGATCATTAACGACACTGATCAGCGGACTAGAAGTCTAGAGTTACCTGTCTTGTAGGCCTTGAGCCATAAATTGAGTATGTAATAATGTTTCGTTTGAACATAAAACGACGAGCTCGTCGTTTGTTTTGGTGGTGGGGTGCAGTGAGCCAACGATCTGTCGTAGAAATAATAAAATTTCTGCTTTGCATTTCAGTCCACTAGGATTTCAAATTTGACTATAAAAATAAAAATTGAACTGGCAAAACTAGTTATATCGCTGTATATATATGTACAAGCACCCACTTATATGTTCACATAAGTTGTGGTTCAAACATCATTTTGTAATAATTGATAAAGACAGTAAAAATACAGTCAACCAGTGCAAGAACTAGCATCATTATTTTATATTAATTAACTAGTGAAGTGATTGTAAAACTAGCTTTGGTTAATTTTGGTTTACTAATTTCTGATTTTTAAATCTTTGTGAAAGATTTGTAATGTTTTGTTTGCTAAAAATCAACCAATCAATCAAACTCATATTCTTGCTAAAGCGGTTGCTCCTTTAACTAGTTTTGTGAACTAGAGTTAACTCCTTCTGTTGTCAGAGGCAGCACCACTCTATGTGAAGTGGGATCAATTAACCCCGCTCAATTTTTTTTAAAAAAAAATTATAAAATAGGATTAAATTAGTAAAAAAATTAAAAATATATATATTAAGTGAAAAATTTTACAGTTTCTATTATAATTAACCCCACCAGAAAATATTTATAGCTCTGTAACTGCCTCCTATCATCTTGGGTAACAATGTTAGGTTGTGAATTTATTTATTAAGGCATGTGTAAACCATGAGGAGGGCATCTACATTGTTCTGGTACATGCATGAGAACTAGATGACTCATTTTCAAAACGAGGGAGCGTTGGTGCTTAGCTATCTAGACGACGTTTAACGGTTTAAGGGGGTTACGAGTCCAAGATGAGTTGCGCGTCTATTCCACTTAATCAATCTTTCCATAATCTTCCTGTTTATTTTCTTAATTAAATCTAGTCAAATCCAAATTCTCCATTAAGCCCCTATTTCTTTTTTTTTTACTCAATTGTTTATGATAGTCAAATATAAAAAAAAGTTATATTCATAAATTATGCACGGTAAAAGCGGGAGGAGAAGAGAAGGTAGGTCAATATATTCCTGTATAAGCATTGGAGGAGCAAAGATCGATACGGGTTGAAAAAATAATTTCAAAATTAAAGGTAACAAAATATAATATGCTTTGTTAATTTATTTAGTAAATTAAAAAAAAATTATCAATTAGATGTAGTCTGTTTAGTCTTCTCACATCTTTTAAAAAATATGGAGAGTAAGAGATTTCAAATTTGAGTTATCTCCATTATAAAAATCATCACCAATATTATTCAAAAAAAATGTAATCATAATATTAAATTATAGCCTCACCACCAAATAAAGTTTTTAGTTCAAGTCATTTCAACTATAATTTAATAAGTACAGACCGGACTACGCATTAGACCTCCCACAAAATGGGAAAAAAAAAACCATAATATTTAGTTTTATTTATTTTAAATTTTTTTTTTTCCATTTTATACAATTACAACTTTCTATATTAATTAAAAGAGAGATTAACCTTAAAATTCAAGTAAAATTCCAAACACAAAAAATAAAAGGTTTGGATATATGATCTTTACATCAATGTTAATGCTTTTGCTTTTCAGCTTAATCTTTGGACAATGACAGTCAAAGTGTTGAAACTTTTTGCAGCTATATCAAGGTTATTTTATTGTTAAGTTAGGTCAACCAGTGTGAATGTGTAATATTTTTCAAGGTAAAGACTAATCAAAGGCTAAGAAATTCAATTCAAGGGCAAATCTGACCCGTACGGCCGTGCAAAGAGCCCAAAACTAATTACACGTGAATCATAGGATTTGACGGTTAAATAATTACCAAACAAGAAATTTTATAATAACCCTAAAACGTATGTAGATGGTGACAAAATCCTATCAAGATTAATGATTATTGGTGAAAATTAATAATAATAAAACAAGGTAGATTGTGTTCTTTGTCTTTATGAGAACACCTAAATTAAAAATATATAAATTTTGACTTGAAAATTATTGTCCTGCATAGATTATGGTAAACGAAAATGAGCTTGAAAAGTACGTGTAAAGAAGCAACTAAATATGGAAACAAAAAAAATCTATGACAAGAAGTTTAAATGGTAAGATATATTTTAAATTTGTGTGGATGATCTGAATAATCAATAGATAGTCTATGAATATTAATTTCGTTTTAGGTAATTTATATATGTAAAAATAATTATGATGAAGAATAGTAAATTTTAAAAGAAATATTAATCCGTGGAAAGAAATTTTATAGTGAAGTACAAATGTAATATTGATCTGTAAAAAAAAATATTCATAATAAAGGATAGAGAAGACTCAAATATTCGACAATGGCAAAAGTGTAAAATAATATATATAAATTGAAATAATTTATTAAATATAACTCTTTATATGTTTTCTATTAAATACAATATTAATATTTTTCATTAGAGTTGATCTAAATAAAAATGATTCAAATCTCTCATAAAATAAGTTAGATTTCGTTTTTTATGAATGAAAAAATTTCAGCAAGGAGCATCATGGACCCGACACGAGGCAAACAACCTAATAGCTGAGGACATTTTTGGTATAAACATGTGCATGGAGACAAGGGCTGGTTCCCATCCTTGAACACAAACAACTTTAAAAATTTGCCGTACAAGTTGGTGGGAAAAAAGAAAATTACTACTCTGCCCTATTTTGAGAATTTTTGTTAGCTCTTTAACATGGAATTCTTGCTCGGCCGTTGAGTGAAATAACCACAAACTCGAAATAAAATTAATTTTATATTTAAAATGGTGAAAAAAAAAATAAAAGATGGAGCATGAGAATATCAAAAGTTGACAATTATATCTATGAAAATCATATTTACTTGATATACTTACAGTAATTAAGGTGCTATATATCATAGATTAAGGATGGAAGTGCACTGTGAATTTTGACCTATTTATATTCATTTTAAATCTGTTTAATTAACCATTTAAATACTCATATTCGAATCCATTTAAAATTTTAATATTCATACTGTTCTCAAGTCAATTTAAATGGGTATATATAAAATTTAAACTATAATATATTTTAAATTATTCAAATCCAAATTTATTTAAAATATAACTTTTACCGATAATAGACTGAGATTTTGTTGCTTTCAGATTTTTGATAGGATAGGAGGGAAACAAGACAACACTCACCTTCTCTCCTTCTCCTTCACGTGAGGCAAGCTAGGGTTGTGCGATTCCGGTTCTGATTCGGTTCTCAACAAGAATTAGAACCATAATCATAACCAAATGACTTAAGAGTTAGAATCAGAATCGAACCATAATTCAATTTTTATTAAATTTGGAACCACAATCATAACCAAATGACTTAAGAACTAGAATCAGAATCGAACTATAATTCGGTTCGATTTTGATTCGATTTTTTTATTCTGGTTCCAATTCTAGTTCCCCATTAAAAATTGTATTGATATCATGTTTTTTTAAATTAAAAAGATTATAATATTAAACTAAAAATTGTAGTATATGATAATTGAAGAAATTCATCTATAACAATTATAATAATAACATAAAGTTATAATTATATATAATTAACTATACTATTATTAGTTATTACATACCAAATACTTAAGAGTTAGAACAGAATCGAACCATTAACTTCAATTTTTAATTCAAATTATGGAACCACAATCATAACCAAATGACTTAAGAAAACTAGAATCAGAATCGAACTTATAATTTCGGGGTCGATTATTGATCGATTTTTTTATCTAGGTCCAAATTCTAATTCCCCATTAAATAATTGTATTGATATCATAGTTTTTTATTTAAATTAAAAAGATATATAATAATTAAACTAAAATGTAGTATACATAGATAACCATTGAAGAAATTCTCTATAACAATATAATAATAACATCAAATTATAATTATCTATATAAGTTAACTATAACTATTATTAGTATAATTACAAATAATAATTATTATACTATTTTGAACTTTAAATTGTTATAACCACATATGATACAAAGTACACATGCTTTTAGAATATTGTAATTATAAAATATAATAATGCTTATTAAAATATTATTAGTTTTAGAAATTAAATTGCAATTGATATAATTTGTAATTAATAATACAAACTAAAACTATGACTTAAAATAAGCTATAATATAAAATTATTTATTTAGAAATACTAATACATATATATGATAATTGCTTATAATTAATACACACACAAATAACATTTTACACAATATTATATATATATATATATATATATATATACTATATAATATATAAAAGTTATATAGGGAATATATATAAAGTTATATAGGAAAAAAATATATGTCTAAATTGAAAATTGAATTAAATTTAAGTTTTCCAACTTAAATATCAAATTCATTGTTAATTAATAATTAATAAAGTGTACTTCAATCAATTACACTTAGAGTCTCACATCATCTTATTATTTTATCACTAAATAGTAATACAAGTTTTAATTTAAATATTAAATAACAATTTTTCCTAAAGGTTTTCAATTAAATAATTTATCTTAAAATTAAAATTATATATTTATTAATTGATTTTTTGGTTCGGTTCGGATCCTGTTTGATTTAGTTCAGTTTTGGTTAAGTTCTTAATAAGAATTAGAACCAGAACCGAACATATATTTTTTTGGTGCAAGTTTCAATTCTGGATCTTAAAATGATTCTTTTTCAATTCAGATCGGTTCTGTGATCCGGTTCGAAGCCCCTAGTAACCATGCGCAACAGAAGTATCGTTTTCCAGGCGAGTTTTTTTTTCTTTTTTCTGTTTTTTTTTTTTTTAATTTTTAAATCATCAAGCTATCACCTGCGGACAAAACCATTGTAGTAAAGTCCAACCGATGAAATATCGTAAACAATGACGTCAAACAAAAGGTTATCGTACATTTTTTATTTCTCAACCACA